TTATCATCGACATATTTCCTTCTGAATGGATACCCCATATAACTGATTTCCTTATTAAAAACGTTATAGTTCATGGATTAAAATATGAGGTGGTGTTATAACGGATATATAAAAAAGTACAGACATCTTTGCATTATTTATCATATGTTCTTTAACCCTTTTTTACTTCTTCTACTTTTCAAACGAGAAAACGAACGGCTTAGTTCATGTACAAAATAATGAACGAAAAACAAATATGTAACACAGCAAGAAACGACAACCACTGAATTACAGGTTCCTGGTTTGGGACAGGCACATAAAGAATGTGGCGGGGTTAAACTAGTTTGTTGGCGCCAATCCCTCCCCTAAGCCCATTTCTACTGATTTTCATAGTTTGCTTGTATGTAGTACTGTTACACGACTGTACCAGGTTAGGGGAGGGTTTGGAGCCAACAAACATTCTAAACCCTGCCAGGTTCTGTATGTGCCTGTCCTAAGTCATGAGCCTGTAATTCAGTGGTTGTCGTTTGTTGCTGTATATCATATTTGTTTTTCTTTCATTGTTTTGTATATAAATCCAGATGTTTGTTTGTTTTTCATTTGTCGGGACCTTTTATGGCTTACTATGTGGTATGGATTTGGTCATTGTTGAAGGCCGTACGGTGGCCTATAGTTGTTAATTTTTATGTTATTTGGTCTCTTGTGGAGAGTTGTATCAATGGCAATCATACTACATCTTCTCATCTTTATTGTAATTCATCAACACTATATCAAACCAGGAAATACATCAATAGATACTCCAATTTCGAAAATTTTGAAAGTCTATTTATCTTATATGATTTGTTTATTAATCCGTAAATGGTATCTATTTTAGGAAAAAAATGCTTAGTTTAGTTTTGTGACGTCATATTGTAGTTTTGACAACAGTTCACGTGCATATTTGCTGGCTTTTACCAGCTTTTGTCTCATTTCCCAAAGATATTTGACAAAAAAAGTACCTGCCCTTCCTCGCCCAAATAAAAAAAATCAACAATAAAATTTCTAGACGTAATGAACTAGTACATTTGACTGTTTTGAGTTTAGCCGTCATGTGAGTAAATTAAAGTCTACACGTGGTATGAATTAGTTTTATCTTCCCAAGTATTAGACAAGATGTGAATTAATTTTACAGGAACTGTCAATTTTTGTCATCAAAACCAACGATATAAACAAAGACCACCTTATACTGACGAAATGTGTGACTTTGCATAAACAAAATCTGTTCCAACAGAGTATTGAGGAAGAGCGACTGAAATCGACACTATATACTTTTTACGGACACCATCACGAATTGGTGGACCGATACGATATATCTGTATCTAAAATCACTAGCGACATATTTTAACAATGAAAGATCTCTAGATGGCAGAAGAGTCGTCCAATCTGTAATTTTACCGTTTGGGTTTTTATATGTTATTTAAGCTGTTTAGATTAATAACCCCGGCTTGATATATATCTAAAATGGAAGTAACATTGACTATACATAAAATATTTGAAAGTTTAAAGAATAACTAACTTCAAACATGAGAAGACGTACCCTTGTTATGTCTCTTAATATACAGCTCGTGTCGATGGTGAAGAATAGCCCAATTGGTGACCGAAAAACAATGCGCGGGAACCCGATATGAATGAAAAGTTAATATAGGACAACTAAGCTGTTTCTGGTTCGATCATATGATGTGTATTAAACCAATTAAACGTGTGCACAAACTTCCTCTCTCGTCGATTGAGACCTTTAGTCTTAAAAATAAAACAAACAACAAAACAACGATGCATAAAGATGTATGTTTCATGTGCATGCTGTAGCACATCAGAAATTCCTTGATTGAAAAATATTGTAAATTGTTTTGGGCAAAAAGGGTTGTTATTTTACATAAGCAAATATGTACTGAACGTTTAAGGTTTTGGTCAATTAGATGGGGAAATAATGCTACCAGTTTTGTGACATTTAGGAGTAGACATTAGTTTCATCAAGCGATAACAGTTACAGTTTTCGTAGGGGTTCAATAGACAATGGATTTTTCTAAAACAATTAAGACAATTTATATGCATTTGGCAGTTTGGATCCTAATGTTAACATCCTAGTGCAGGGTTATATGTTATTTTTCAAATGTTTTAAGAATTTACCTTGGTGAGGTTTAGGAAATTTTGGTAAATGTTCGAACTCCTTGGTTTTTTTCCTACGATATAGGGTAAAATATTTTGCCGCATTACACCGATTTTTCTTTTCATATAAGACTTCAATAGCTCATAAAAGGTTGTTTACCAAAATTAAAGCAGATTCTAGATTTCTTTTCTTTCGATTTGATACTCAAACAATACCAATGCAAATATAAAGGTAAAAGTCCGAGACAGCCTTTTCCCGCCATTTAAAAAAAATTAAATATCCCCAAAAGGAGCTCCATAAACTATCAATATTTTTAGCTTAGTTTGTTCCTTAACTTATGCTCTTCTGACTTAAAGTGTCAATTTTAAATTTTAGATTTTTTTAATTTCACCTAAGTAAATCCTTAAATGCATACAAACTTTTGTGAAAATTCTCAATATTGCCGTTTAACGTATATGTTGCCTTAAATATAAGTAAAATGTGTGGTAATGTACGTTTATGAGACACAAACTCGACAACAACAAAAAAAAGAAAAGATTATTTAGCAAAATGTCTGGAATGCATAATATTTGCAATATTCTTTTGACATGTTGACCGACTTACATCTTTTATGAAAAGCTTTATTTAATATCCATAACACTCATACAAGGATCTTCCAATAAACGAAGGAGCTACGCATGCAATATGAATACTTATTTTTCACAAGCCTTGTCAATTTCCTACCAAGCCCATCTTCAAAAAAAAAGAAACAATGTCTGTTATATATATAAGGGTTCTGATTAATGTAACTTGCATTACCTTCAATTATTTCTAGATTTACTTCTGTCTAATTACTTGATGTGTTTTGTGTTGTAAGAAAAATCACAAAAGTTCTATCAAAAAATTAGTTATGGAATAAATTTTTGCGTATTACAAATAACCTAATACCGGTGTGTATGCATTTATAATTTAACACTTAAAAGGTTTCCCATTTTATGAAAATTTTAGATCACACAACAGGCCACACCAATCACGCACATCCGACTGCTTCGCAAAACGAACGTACTCACGAAGGAATGACGAGCAACAAATGGTCCAGAAAGTGCATAAAAAGTGGTTAGATTAAATCAGTGTTACGTGCATACCCCCCCCCCCCCCCCCCGCCCCTCTTTGCCTAACTAGACCATATATTGTAAAAGTAAAACACATTAAAAACCTGCGCTCTCCAGCTACCAACATAAAAACCACTTACTCGAACAAACGATAAAATGATGGTTCTTGATTTAAGAGGCAGTTTTAAAACGTGCTCTCTACTACAGGGAGATGCGAATAGATGGATGCAAGTCAGTTGATCACAAGAAGTGATTCGCTGACAGCGATCATGGTGTTAATCATTCTAATAAATTAACTCATCATAGATACCAGGTTAAAACTTTTTTACGCCGGACTCGCGTTTCGTCTAAAAAAGACTCATCAGTGACGCTCGAATAAAAAAAGTCAAAAAGGCCAAACAAAGTTCGAAGTTGAAGAGCATTGAGGACCAAACATTCCTTTTAGTTTTGCCAAATACAGCTACAGTAATTTATTCAGAAAATCCTTAGTATTTCGAAAAATTCAAAGTTTTGCAAACAGTTAATTCATAATTATGACCGTGGCAAATCAGTGATAATTCATGTCAACACAGAAGTGCTGATAACTGGGTTGATGATAACTCCGATTTTACAGTCGTTTCTGTATTTTGAAATTTCTCAATTTTGATATTGGTCCCTACTCACATTTATTTTGTTGAATTATTTATTATTTTGTGATTTTAGAAGTTAAAACATATATACAGATACTGTTTTATCTAAATTGTTCCTAACACAAAATTATTGTAGAAACTAGCTATATATATGTATAACAAGTAACACAAAAAATACTAACGATACTGGTGCCTCCTTTACATATACACCAAACGAGTAACCTTTCTTTTCTAATATATTTTGCGTTGTTTTGTTTTTTTTTTTGTTTTTTTTTTTTGTTTTTTTTTTTGTTTCGCTGTACGTTATATGATTGTCGTAGTCACCATCAAGTCATCTTTTCCTCATTCCGACATCACCAAATGAGACTTAATCATCATCGAATTTGTAGTACTATCAGCTACACGACGTTGCTAAAACTTAAAAGGATCTGCTTATCCTTCCGGATCACCTGAAATCAAGTGGTGGATTCGTGTTAGACAGTCTTTAGACTTTTTTTTTTATCTTTTCGTCGTTTTTCGTTTTTTGTCATGGTCTTGTCGGTTTCCATTTGACTTATAAGTTTTGATGTTCTCTTATGTATTTTCAACCTCTTTTGTTTGCATAAGTGAACACTATTCAAAAGGTTTCTGATGAAAAAAATTAACACTATACAAAATAACTATCCATTCTTGAAATATATAGCCTTTGATTAAAGTATTTACGTCACATTTTAACCCTATAAAAATAAGGAGATGTGGTATGATTGCTAATTAGATAACTATCCATCCAAGTTCAAATAAAGTGGATGTATGCAATTATAGGCAACCGTACGGCCTTCAACAATGAGAAAAAACCCTACCGTACAGTCGGCTATAAAAAGCCTCGATATGAAAAATATGAAACAATTCAATTAAGGAAACTAAAGGCCTTATTTATAACAAAACAAATATGACAGACATGAATCAACGACAACCACTAAACTACAGGCTCCTGCTTTGGGACCGGCACATAAAGAATGGGGCGGGGTTAAACATGTTTGTGAGCGCTCAACCCTCCCCTAACCTGGTACAGTGGTGTTACAGCACAACATAAGACCAAACTATAAAAATTAGTTAAAAAGGCTTAACTCATCAGATCGATACAAATTTATTTCCCTCAGATCATATAAAATAACAAGGAAATAAATGTTTATGCTCAAGTAGCTTCTATTTCAAATTTAAAAGCAAAATGTTCATAAAGTAGTTTTTAACAAAAGGTATGCATTTCTAATTTTAACACCAATATGACGAAGGTTATCTCTCTGTCCATCCAATTCTTTGCTCATTAATTCGGTGATGGGTTTGGTGGAATGACATTGGTGATCATCTCATCACCACCCGGAAGCAACAGAAGAAGCATGAAAAAGAGTTCTGAAACAAACAAACAAATAAAATTAATAGCCAGAATAAATCAATACTTCAAACAACAACTATGTTCTTACGACTGTATTATCAACAATGCTTCCTGTGTATGTTTTTATTTACTATATTTGGCATCCGAGTTAGCTTGCGACTATAAGTTATTTTGGAGTCAAAATTATAGCACTGTTATTTACTGACTAAAACTGTTGTAATTGTATGTAAGAATATGAGTGTTAAATTTGTCTGTTTGTTTACATAAAGTTATCAATCGTAATTGTTTGTTCTCAACTTCCTACAAGATTCACGTATATACTTTTATTTCAATTTTGATTTTTGACTTAGACACAGCTATGGTCATCGTTATTATATATAAAAACACTTCGTGATGTTTCTATAAATGACCTTTCTATCATATATACATGGTAAACATCCAATTCAAACGAAATGTATATGAATCGAAACCGTGAATAAAAGGAGACGTTAGATATACCAGTACGTGTGTGTGACTCGATATAGAAATGTATACATGTACTACAAAAAATACAAAGAAAAAAGTGCAATTTTAGGTAAAATATAAGATAAAACAAGACTGAGTGAGTGAGAATTCAAGTGTAAGTTGTATGTTCTGTATCTTTGTGTTCTGATAAAATGATTGTATTGACTAAAAATAAATGTGTATTTTGCTAAATGTGAGGTCTCCGTTACCATCCAATAGAAGTGAATATGAAATCACAAACAATGTATCTCTTGCTTCATTGTGGATAGACCACTCGAAAAAAAAAAAGATACAATCTTCTATAGGATTCACAGGCAGCTGCAAGCGGGATTAGGTTTGATATAATATATGTCGCAATGGTTTAAGAAAATATTAATTTTTGTCTCCGCAACAGACGAAGAAGGGTAGCTGTATTTAGTAAGTTTTCATCTTCCGTTTTAATATTTTGATATATCCGTGTGTCAAGATAAAGGCGACTGAATTCTTCATTAATAGAAATGAACAAATTTGTAGTCCAATATGATTATTGCAATTCAAATCTGAAGAATTGTTGTTCATTTTCGATGAACGTCGAATTACAAACTGGTGGAATATTTGAGAATTTTCTTCGATTATAATCCCTTGTAATAATCCATCTGAAGAATCGGATAGTGTATTGGTCATATTCCGTTCGTTAATATCCTACACTCATTTAAAGCTTAGTCAAAAGGTTTTCGTGACGTGACAATTCCAAAATGTGCTTAATATCTGCAAATTATAAGATTTTGGTTAACGATGTTCTTGGCACATGATTTTTGTCCAGTTCTACCCTATCACTTACACTCATTAAAAGCTTTACCGTATGTGCATTTAAATGTCGTAATTAATTCCAAATGGGACAGATATTAGAAGATTTTAATCATATATGTTCTACAAGGCTTAAAAATTGTGTACGCCAGACGTGCGTTTCCCTTACATGAGGCTCATCAGTTGCGCTCGAATCAAAACATTTGGAAGACTAAATCAAATACGAAGTTGAAGATCATAAAAAACCGAAATTGCCAAAAAATTGTGCTAAATACGGCTAAAGCAGTCTATACCTAGAGTAGGAAAACTTGTTTTTCGAATGATTCAACATTTTATCAAGAGTGAATTTATAGAAAATCAAAATGAACAAATAGAATATATTTCATGTCAACACGAAACTGCTGACTTATGGGCTGGTGGTACCATCGGGAATGAAACGACGACCAGCAGAAAACGGTGCATTTATTTAGCTGAGAAATTTATTTCATGGCATGCACAGTTTCGCAAGCCATCAATACAGAAATAAGTTCAAATAAACTTGGTCAGTAGTAATATTTAAATTCTATGCATATATATATACAGGCATATACCTGTCCTAAGTCAGAAACCTGATGTTCAGTGGTTGTCGTTTGTTGATGTGGTTCATAAGTGTTTCTCGTTTCTCGTTTTTTATATAGATTAGACCGTTGGTTTTCCTGTTTGAATGGTTTTACATTACTAGTAGTCATTTATAGCTTGCTGTTCGGTGTGAGCCAAGGCTCCGTGTTGAAGGCCGTACTTTGACCTTTAATGGTTTACTTTTACAAATTGTGATATGGATGGAGAGTTGTCTCATTGGCACTCATACCACATCTTCTTATATATCTATATATGGCATTTTAAACACCTGTTCGAATTTGTTTGACATCAAGATCTGAACTCATTATTAAATTCTAACCTTTTTATGACATTCAATATTTTTTTTATTATTATCTAGAGACAATTGTTTTATGGGGCTCTTCTGTGTTTTAGTCTAAGACAGCTATTATCATTCTTCTTCATATCATAACTTTAGGCATGATAACACATAGGCTAGTTTATCTAAAATTCCTTTACATAAAAGAATAACGTTGTCATATTTTGACATACTCTCTGGTAGCTCCATAGAATATAAATGGATACGTATGTGCATTAAGAACAGGAATTAAATTATAAATTGAACAGTTTTATATCCCAATATATGATAGAAGGTAATTGTGAAGTAATTTAAAAAGTAATTTCAATAACAGGATATTTAAGTCTGTAATTACTTACACTATATTTACATGTAATGGAAACTATTGTCGATTACACATAACTTTCAATTTCTTGAAAATGGTGATTAATTTCAGCTAATTACAATTACATTTTTCAATTATAATAATACTGGTCTAAACAGAAGATACATACCCAAACACATCGTTTGAATGCTAAGTTGTAAAATTTTAGTGTGCATGAGATTTCTTCGAAATACTGCTAAAACTTAGTTTTGATGAGTAATTAATCTCATTGTATTGTTCATACATTTATGTAATCATTGTACCTTATAGTTATGTTCTCTATATCTACTTAATTGTAGTTTTATGAGAAATAAAGTCATTCGTTTATTCATGCTTAAACTTAGTTTTGACGAGAACGGCTTGCCATAAAAAAGAGGCAAGAAAAAAAAAAAGACAACCCTGTTGCTAAAAGTTAAACGACGTTCAGACAAGTAGATTGCCCACTAAATACTACACAGCAATATAAAACACGAACGTGTTCACAAACTGCAGAAAGGTTATCCTACTCCACTAGTGGCACCTTTAATGTTTTCCATTAATGTAAAATATATAAAAGAGTCTCTGTGTATTATCATGTTCCTTGTCAAAACCACTAAAGATTCCATGGTCGTAATCTTGTACGCCAGACGCGTTTTTTGTCTGTATAACACATATATTGGCCTCGAGCATCACTGAAGAGACATTAATTGTCGAAATGCGCATCTGGTGCAATAAAATTAGTACCGTTTATGTTATCACCAGTGGCATTCGAACAAAAACAGTTTAAAAGCCAAATGAAATTAGAAATTGAAGAGCATTCGAAAGACAAATATTCCATATAATTGTGCCAAATGCGGCGAAGACAATAATGCAATTGGGGGTTGAAAACATAATGTTTTGAATAATTTAACAGTTAATATTTTAACCAATATTCATAATGAAATATGTTACCGTATTGTGGACCCTTCCGCAGAAAATAGCACTCATCAATAGGATAATAAGCGTCTGTATAATATGGAAATATTGGATAATCGAAACAATACGTCTTCAGTTGATGATAACCCGGTGTCATAAATACACACAACAGTATCATTGCAAAAATCCTCATTTCTAAAACCCGACTGACATTCTAGAATTATAAAAAGATAAATAAAACTAAATTTTATAAATGAATTTAAATGTGCATTGAATTAACATCAGTATTACTTTTGTATACCTCATGTAAATATTCAGCTTGATTCAGAAACTTGTATTGTATTTTCTACATCTTCTGATTTTCAGATGCATATTGCATAAGGTAGTTGTTTTCCATTGAAATACATATTTTGTTGTTATAGTTATAATAACGATGTATTTAGGTTTCCAAGTTGAGAATTCAACGAGATAAGTGTTTACCCCTCAGGATATATATACATGTACATCAGTATTATTCCATGTGTAAACGTGTAATAAATTTCCCGTCTCTCTCACATATAAGGTATTGATACATGTCAAAAAATATTGTACAATGTAAAGCGGTCTTTGGATTTTACTTAAACAATTCTGTAAACTACGCAGTTTTTACAGGTTAACTGTGAAAATTAACCTTGTTTATGAGAATGTTTCGGTCCATAGGTAGGTTAATGTATGTCTTGCCCATATAACTGATATACTGTTAGTATTCTCCTGTTACAATCATCTTACTCCGGTGATAATTCCTATTTTTGATAAAGTGGTATTATAGTCAATTTTTCCCTGTAATTCAAGTCGGAATGTTCATAAACCAAATGGCTTTTTCTAATATGAAAGAGATTCAAGCGTAACTCTAGACTGAGTGTCAATTGAATGTAATTTCTAGTAATTGATTGTCTATATTGCAGTGCTGTTTGCATTTTGTGAATTTAATGAATAAGTTTAACTACGATATGTGGGGTTTGTAATGTACACATAGTGATATAGAATTATACACAACGACCATACGATGAAGGGAATTCTTGCATTTTTAAATTATATTTCACTGCGACTTTTCTTTTTATTCACAAAATGACCAGTATTATCTACTATATGATACAACTCACTACATATAATATGAATGCATGCACTAATAGCAATATTATAGTATTAACAGATCGGTCATATAGCTCTCCAACTGGTTCGGTTCTATACACCTTTGCAATGGCATTCAAATACTATGTATTCGGCTTTGAGATTTCCTGATGACGTAAATCCAGAAAAGCGCTCCGGACGCGTTAAATTCATAATTTAAAGTATTGTTTGTAATTTTTTTTTCAAAACAATTGTTAAAAGGAAGCCGATTTTGTTTCGGTCTACTCAGTGACTAAAAATCAGAAAATCGTTAAAAAATTAAAACAACTCTTTCTAAATTTCATGTGTCGAAGCGCTTTTTCTGGATTTAAGCTTTATTTGGTTAAGATGTGATCATTAATCATATTCATTAACAAGTTTTTGTTCAAAAAAAAATAACCCATTCCTTATAAATCCGTAAATAGATATAGGAAGATGTGGTATGAGTGCCAATGAGACAACTCTCCATCCAAGTAACAATTTATAAAAGTAAACCATTATAGTTCAAGGTACGGCCTTCAACACGGAGCATTGGCTCACACCGAACAGCAAGCTATAAAGGGCCCCAAAAATTACTAGTGTAAAACCATTCAGACATACATAAATAAAGCATACATCTGGTACATATATGTATATGTTATAGTTTTGAAGGTTTTGAGAAAAGAAAACTTAGATTTTTATAAATAAAATTTCATGAAATGTTAACTGCCTTAAAATTAACTGAGTGATTGTTGGATTGACAAAACATGTATTTGGTTTCTCTGTGACATGTGGAATTGAAAATCAACAAAGTATTTTCTATGCTCTGAAATTAAGCGTTTATGTACATAAATTCGATCTTTAAATTAGATAGACGGATTTACACATATTGTTATTGTTTGGGGCCTTGTTTTCTTTCCCGTCTACAATCAACTAACTGTAAAATAAAGAACTCAAGGATGTATCTTGATTTTTTTTTTTAATATACTGTTTGTAATAAATTCAAATTCAAATTAAAAACTATACTTACGATGTCTAAGCAGCCGGTCGTTTGATGATATTGGTCAGAACTGACAAATTTGACCATATTATTCTTAAGGGTAAATATGTAAGTCAATACACATTATATGAACGGACATGGACTCTTATGTTTATAAGGTCAAATCTATAAAAACTCCTTAGGGGATTTATATACTATACCATTCATTCTTCAACAGGAAATATTCCATTCCTTGCAAATATATTTTTATATACAAAATCTAACGTTGGTATGTGCTTTGTTATATCAAATTCGTACTAAAAGCAGCTGCATTTTTTGTCTTGTACCATTGAAACAAAACGAATTACTAGGGTCAGTTTTAGGGTTCGAGATTGGAATCATTTTGATATGATCGATGTCGAATCAATTAAATTGTGTGATAAAATAAATGTAATAGGACTGTTATATGTGTTAGGACCGAATTAAGATAACAAACACAGTCCCATTGTCACGCGTGAATAACCGTCTCCATTTTTACAACCATTTTTTTTTTAGAAATCTGTAAAATTATAGAATTTCGGGTGACAAAGCAATTTTCTTTGCATTGTACTTATTGTTAGTGAACAGTTGTACAACCAATGCTAGGCAACAGGACTAGACATATCTCAAACAGGCAGAAATCGATTGCAAGTTTCAAATTTGAAAGGCATCCTGATTTATTGCATGTGCATGTGTTCTTCTATTTCCTGTACAGATAATTTATTGAAACTTGGTGCGAGGAATACCTCTTTTACCGGTGCATTCCGAGCAGTACTTCTAATTCTCTAAAAGGGCCTAAATAATTCGATATTTGACGATTTCTACTGACATATCTTTTTCGTAGCGACAAAATGTGCAATACCCACATGATGCCGACCCCAGTCCCCATATGTGGCATTGGACATAGCGGTGTGAATGTCGCTACAATAATAACCAAACAACCTGTCAGCAAAATTCGACATATAATCACTTGTGAATACAAAATGTATATGCTACCAAACGAAGATATTGTTTGCTTGTGTTTTTCTTGTACTTAAGTTATTATAATCTATCAAAACGAGGTTGTACACTATTATACTATTGTGTTTATTACTTGTTTTTTAAGGTTAAAAGGAGAAGGGTTGATCTAAAACAAATTGCAACATATGTTCATATATATAAATATAAGAAGCTGTGGTATGCTATAGTAAGCGCTAATTAAGTTTCTGTTGCAAGCTATTTTTAAAGTGTCAACAGTCGAGTTAAATATTGAATAATTCTGATTTCTTTTCCTGTGATCAGTTTCACAAATAAATCTTACGACTAAACAAGGACAGTCTATACTTACATAGAAAGTCCCTGGACTAAACTTGATCGTAAAAGTATACTGAATTTTTCATAAAAAAATACGATCAACTTAATTTAGTCATAAGGTTTTTTGTGAAACGGATCAATGAAGTATAAGGTACAAAGGATATTTAAATGTGTTTTCTTCGTTTCTTGGCCAGAACTGGCTAACTGCTAATATTTGTTTTACTTCAGTATCGATGTCTGCTGATGAAATATAGTTAACTTCAAATTTGCCATCACCTTGCCGTTGGCTTTCAGTTTATTTTCGACTTATGAGTTTGAATGTCCCTTTGGTATCTTTCGCTTCTCTTCTAAAGCTTTTTGTATGTCAACACCCAATGAGCAGCCTACCTGGGAATGCATACTTTCTTTGTTTTACTTACTTGATTTTATGAAGCCGTTTTTAACATATTCCGTCTTTTTGTTATAGATCATCCGGACTGGTATTGTGTACATTGAACAGCTTTCTTCCTGTTATTTTTTGGCGGTTGCATTTTGATGTATATGCTTCCAACATATCAACATTTATCTGGAAATATGCTTTGATCTTTAAATATCCAATTTGCGTTGCTTAATATCTACTTATTATATGAGAAATTTTGCAGTTATTGTTCCAACCGCTGTTTGTTTTCCGGAAATGTTCTTTATAACAATTTCTTTGTCTTCTTTTAAATGGGATATTGTGACCTTCTGTTGTGGTTACTTTTCTGTCTGATGTTGACTTTTGAAGTCATTTGGTGCGAATGCATATTTTTCTTCACATATCATTATGCGCTCTAAGCTGTGAAGATAGTTCAACAACTTTCATACAATCCATTGGAAATTTGATATAAGTATTGTTGTCCATGTTATTGCAAACACTTCATGTCAAACTTTATTTCGGGAACTCGCAGTCAATTACTTTAGTCAGTTCTTCTTTTGTTTTTACTTAAACTATTTAGTGTTGGTTTATGTTGACTTTCTTTATAAAAAAAATGGAACTTGGCAAATTACTTCAACATATATCAAATTGTATAAACTCAGTTACTATCCTCAAACTTGTGACATCATTGAATCTTTTATTTTGCCGTCAGAGCAAATTTTTGAAAAAAAATCGTTTGACAAAATTTTTGTTTTGATTTTTGATAAGTGACAACTTCCTTGTTTTCTTTTTGCATGCATTTGTGTGTGAAAAGGTTGGTAATATTATTTTTTTTCATTGATGACTTATCCGGAAAAAAAGATGCTTATCCGTCACGACAAGATATCCGTTTTTCCAGTCAATAATGATTATCCAATCAAATGAGGTCAAAGATCATGTGTTAAATTCTGACCAATGACAACAGTCGTCTTGACGATCTTTCGAGGGAGAAGACATCATGGCGGAAAATTTCTAATATAAATCTCTCCCCAGTTTAACAAGTAAGATAAAGGTTTTCCTCACTATTCTCAGTGTCATGCATCAAACCTAATTGCATGAGATCACTTTCATTCTGAATTTCAGTGGAATATTTCATTTATTTATAATTGGTATCTGCTTAACGCCCACTGGAAATGAACTATTTTGTAGCACAGCTCATATCAAGATGTGTTATAATTACATTGTTCCGAGTTCTTCTTCGAATTTATTAGTCCCTCTACATGAAGGAAAGCGTCAAAGATCAAATTGTAAAGCAGTTTTTAAATGAGATGCATATAAACCGGTCCGGAATAACCATTTATTGGTGGAATTTATACCTCAATTCACATATAATCCAACAGTCGGTCTTTTCACCACCGAACACCACCGCACACCACCGAACACCCAAAAAGACCACTAACCCTTAAGAAAAACAGTAATGTTACACAATAAAACAATAAAATCGATTAAATTACGTATAATTTAATCCTATGGTCATGTTTTTTCACATTTTTATGTGCATTATGGTTTACTTTTATAAATTTTGACTTGGATGGAGAGTTGTCTCATTGGCACTCATACCACGGATCTCCTGTAGTTGGTGATCGCAATACTGGTATACCAGTATTGTCCACAATACTGGTATAAAAATTTTGTACCAGTATTGTAACTTTTTTTTTAAAAACAGCAATACTGGTACATTACTGATATACCAGTATTGTAGTTGTATTGTTCACTATACTTTAAGGTGTATAATGAAAAATGAATTTTAAGCAAAATTAGATATTGAAGATCAAAGGGAGATTAAATGAACTCAAAAAGATTATAGAGGATAATTGTGAAATCAATTAAAAACCAGTTAAAAATAATTACTATACTTGTACAAATAAACTAAAGATTATTGTAATTAAATCATCTTATTCAAACAATTGCTAATTGTATAAATAATTGCTAATAATTTTATCATATTTCTATATTTTATTTAATTCAATTTAGATAAAATAAAATAAAAGCTTTATTATCAGAGTTATTATTTAATAAATTCAAGCAAATTATTACACTATAACTCTGTAAATTCAGCATTTACATGTATGCCATCGTATATTTTTTACAGATATTTAAATACATGTATACTAAGATTCTAAGCATTTGTTTGTCTTTATTTTCTTATTAATCTTTCACAATAAACATGATAAAAGATATCAATATCCATTAAACATAAAAAGTTGCTTAATAGGGGAACCTGATTATAATCAAATTAACTAGTTTGTCTACTTGAATGTTAAGGGTAGTTAAAGCAGTTGATTCAGAACCATGGGCAATACAATTTGTATATATAGCAGATATATCTACTGATACAAATACTCAAATACTAATACTAGACAAGAACTCCTACAGTAAGAGAGCCGTACAGGTGCTATCTAAACAAGCTTGTAATCTAGTAAGCGTAACAGAAAGTCCACAGACTGAATACCTAAATATCAATATAGGAAGTGGGGGTTGCATCTGAAGAAGAAATAAACAATACCAATGCTGATGATACAGAAGCTATTACAGCATTAATGTCAATATAAAATTCACTAAAATATACTATTGAGTCGTGGAAAGAGAGAGCTGGAAGAAAACATAGAAGAAAGTAAAGAGTTTGTTAAAATGCTGAGACAGTACGGTTCCCTTGAGAAAAAAACATCAGAAGATTTAAAACTTTCTTTGATTTACAGATTACAATCACAGTGTACCATCAATGGCATCATCAGTTAAACATACAATCATTCCATATAAAATTGTCATGTCATATGTTAATATCATTATGCATATATATGTGACACCTTTAATAAAAGATTAATTACCTATATGTATTGTTTATTTTAAAAAAACACAATACTGGTACAATACTGGAATACAATACTGGTACAAAATTTTTATACCAGTATTGTGCACAATACTAGTATACCAGTATTGCGATCACCAACTACAGGAGATCCCATACCACATCTTCTTATATCTATAAGCATGATTAGTGATGTTAAAGTTGAGAATCAAAATAAAAAAAAAAAACGCTTCCAGATCCAGCAATATTTTTTCCGGATTTACATTGTCTGTATTTCATTGTATATAATCTTATGGTCTTTCCTTTTTAATTATTAGAAATAAATCGTTCAAATAAGTTAAAACATTTTATTTAATGTGAAATTATCACAATAATTATATTTAAAAAAATGTTTGACTTGAAAGTGTACTGTTCTGACAACAGCCCTGCAAGACTGTTCTTTTTGGTTCTCTTCAGTTATCATTTTTTATTAATTTGTGTATATATATGTAACACTCAGAAACGTGTCCTTTCCCCCAAACGTGTCCGATTCCCCCAAACGTGTCCACACGACGTCACTGAACTGCAAAACATGTCTAAATGTAAAAGGGCGCCAAAGCGTGTCATTTGTCTAAACGCCCAAACGTGTCCATTCAGTTTTAATGAACACCCAAACGTGTCCATATCAAGCTTAATTTTTTCTTTTACTGGAACTATCATTCGTGTCCATATTATAAATACGTAGGTTATTTTTAGTTATTTTTTTTTCATTAACGTATACTCATTTTACTATTTCATTAAAAAATAGAAATAAATTACTTTAGGTCTTTTTTAAACCGGCAGTATAACCTGGTTAAAAGTGGGGGCGTCTGTTCGGCTATGTTGGATGTAAATGTAAGCAGCCATGCTCAGTTAAATTGTAGATCTTAAATCAGATACCTCGTGTAGGGAGAATGTCCCATTCTCTGCGCATTAAAACCTTTGTAGCAATTCACTCTTTCATGGTGCCATCAGTTGTATTTTGGAAGGCAACATTTTTTTTTTAATTTCCGCAACTTTTATTTAAAACGGCCTCTATTACATAACAGAGATTGCAGTAGTTTCTTACTGAAGTCATAAAAAAATCGGTCTTCACACGCTCTTAGTTTTTTTAGATTATAATCCCAACTAGTGTTAATCCCGAATAACCATCAAAATTTAGGCCCAATCCTAAATTCCCGGTATGATAATAGAACTTATATACAGTATTTATTGTTTACATGATGTCGTTCAAATAATGCATGAAATATTTGGCACTGGACGTTATTTCTCTTCACGGTTCGTGTGTCTTTAGTGATGCTCGAAACCTAAAATAATTAGAAACCCTGAAGAACCAGTTTTTGATTTGAAGAGCTTTTAAAATATCAGAACTGTTGAAAAAAAGGGAAGTCAATTCTGCTGAAAGCCCGCCGTCGGATTAATATAAAAGGCATTATCAGAGTTTATTAGTAACACATAATTTACATAGTAAACGATTAATTCAACTACACTATAATTATTTGTATGTTCGCTCTAAATGAGCATGAAATACGTGACTTGCAACTGGACAATAAGCAAATTTAGTCAAAAGTTAATTCATATGCTACATATAAAATTTGCAATTATAATAATCATTAACAACCGGCATTGAACAAACTAATGCTAATAAATTACTACCTCATCAACTGTTTCCCCCATCATAGAATTGCCGTAAACGTAATTGATTTTATTTAGGACATACATATATTAATTGGCGCTAAAAGACGTGAGACGTTCTGGCGTTTAACAGTGGACACGTTTTGGCGAATAACAATTATCGGACACGTTTGGGCCATATTGAATATTACGGACACGTTTGGGGAGAATAGACACGTTTGGGGGAATCAGACACGTTTGGGGGGATGGACACGTTTGGGAGTGTTACATATATATATGTATAATTATATTCATTCTCGTTCAGAAGGTAAGTCAAATATATAAATAAAGATGAAAACAATATATTTATCAGGGCTCGACAATAACGTTTGTCCGATTGTCCGGTACCAGAGGAAAAAAAGGTCGGACAAGTAAAAGCTATATCAAGCTTGTCTGATGGGACAAGTAAATTTATTCTGCATAAAATAAATTTAATCCAACTTTGATGAACAAAGTAATTATAAACAAAAAAACAAGAAAAGAAAATAAAAACAAGTATTAATTTGACATGTTTACTTGCAATCGATAACTTAAAACTGGTTCTTTGTCGGGAACTTTTTAACAGGTAAAAGGCATACTTATTATCAGAAACCAGTCTTACTGATCCGAATCAGCCATGGGCTTTGTAGATGGATAACTTTACAAAACAGTTCGTCTCCAGCTTGGAACAATTCAGCTCCAAGTTTAATAGGCAGTTTGGCACCGTAGGAGACATATTTAATAGACATGATAAATAGACAGTTTGGCAACGCAGGAGAAATTTCCAGACCAAGACAAATCAGTACCTCGTTTTCCTACCTTGATTCTGTTGCTTTATAATAAATACCAAACCAGTAATTTTTAAACAAAAATATTTTTTAAATAAAAATGAAGAAATTATTTACCATAAATCAGATTTGATCATATGTAGAAAAGAAAACAATACTTGCAATACTGTGACCTATAGTTGTTAATTTCTGTGTCATTTGGTCTCTAGCAGAGAGTTATCTTATTGGCAATCATACCTCATCTTCTTTTTTTTATTGATTGCATTTGAATAAACTTTTTTTCAGCTTAAAAAAACAGGATACAAATCCAATGAGTGTACATTGACAGGCCTATCAGACAGTGCCTCACGTGCAGAGTCTGATGAGACTTTGGCATTGATGAAAACTAGAACCTTAAAGTCCTGTGACATGACTAGATTCAGTTGTTCTCGACTCATATTTTTGAAAAGTATATCAAAAGATATAAAACTAACTTCTGTTATATTGTTTTAATTCATTTTGTTCCTGGAATCAACTTAAAATGCAAAAAAGGTTATTATTAAGATTTTTTTTGGACAAGTTACAATTTCATTCGGACAAGTAAATTTTGGTATGTACTTGTCCTACTGGACAAGTTGAAAAAAAAGTTATTGTAGAGGCCTGTTTATGTGTGTTAGACATGTTAGATGGTATTTTATTGGTTCGGCGGTGTGCGATGGTGTTCGGTGGTGAAAAGACCTACCGTTTGACATATAGTGAGATAGAACAGATGAAGTATAATGCAGCTTTTATCGCAACATTTGTTTAACAGATATTCAAGCATCGTTTTGCATATACCATGTTAAGCTTTGATGAGTACTCATTAGTGACTACAATGACAGCGGCAGAAGGGTACACAACAACTCTAGTCTCTACCTTTGCCAACTCATACCCAATAATTTTTCTAGCACGATTGTGGTGTAGAATAGAAAACTTTATTTTGATTTGGCATAGCATAAAACATACAAACATAAGCTCTGGTGAGCTTTTTAAGGAATATAAAAAAATGTATACAAAACAAATAAAACAAAGCATCATGCACATATAAAACATACAACAGAAAAAAGCCAAGCAACAATCAAAATTTCAGATTTCTAGCAATTTTTATATAAATTTATTTAAAAATTTTAAATAGAAACAGTACTGTTTGACCAAAAACCATCAGCAGCTCATGTGGCAAGTGCCTCTATGGGTCACCTGACAGCGAGTCAGCAACGGTAAAAGAAATTTAAAATTAAGATAAGCGCTAGATAAAAAAGCAATTCATTTAGGCTAAAAAATTTGAGTTAATAAATAAATATAGAAAGCAGTATAATAATAAACTAATTTAAAAATGAGAAGACTTTATACTAATATTGAGTACGAGATGGCTAAGGTATGAGTTGACATGTATCCGCTGCAGAACCCTACCCCTACCTTAGGTCCTTCTGATATTTTTTGACAATTTGTAGACCATAGGTCACACATATCCATTGTTTATCACCCTTGCATAGCTTAACAATGTGTATAGTTATTTCTTTTGAAATTTTTCTGTGATATGATGTACAAAAAATGTATCTATTTATATTTGAATATTTATTTCCCTGACGCTATTATCTAATTATTTCTTATTGTATATGGCTCCGCCTATTTCATTCAGCCATTTTGAATCTTGTAACGTCATTAAAAACAAGAACAGATAACTTATGTAGAAATTATGCTAACTTTATTCCTTTGGCATGATCAGTTTATAAAATTGAATGATATTGGTATGTTGTATAAACTTTTAACAGGAATAATGACCAGGGCTCACACTAGCAGGCGACTGGGGCGAAGAAGTCGCTTTCAAGTCCGTCACTTCGCTTTGCCCGACCGTCAAAAGCGTTATCTATTCGCCCGGATGTTCACAATAGTCGCTTTCAGTTGCTTTCGTCATCAGCAATTTTCCATTTTTACCAAGTTGTTCAAACTGCAATTTTTCATTTATAAGTAAAAAATTCAAAGACATAAATAATTTATTTCTTTAGAAAACGTGGGGAAAGCATTGATTTGTAGATTGGTCGTATGTTATTTCAAAGAAACAACTTTTTATGAAGTTTTTTTTTTTTCACTTCCAACACTTGTTTCTTAAGAGCGTACATCAAAAGATCCTGATTCTCCGCAAAATAAATGTGTTACTACATTAGAACGTAATGAATATTGCCTTCAGTTAATGTTTGATCCATTTATTGCATTACGTCATATTCCTTTCCAAATCACTTGTCAAACATCGTTTATTTTTGTAAATTTTCCTTCGTCCACCATTGAAATATATACGAATCACGGATCGGATACAGACCAACTATGAACGAAATCCGTATTCTTACGATAATAACTACAGACGCATGAATGGCACTACTGACAGAAGAATATCTATCACAAAAGTGAAAAATACGCATTCCACATGCATTAACAGAAATTTGTTTGGATCCCCTTAGTTAAATGTATATATTTCAATGCAAATGCTTTGTTTCAATTTATTGATTTAAGTTGCTTAAATTTATTAAATTTATATACCTTTTTAATGATAAACAATGAATATCATCAACAGAATAGTTTTCCTCATTGGAATTTAATTGATAACTGATAGTTTCTTTTTGGTTAAAAAAAAATCTTTAAATAGGGCTAGACATTTAGTTATTAGTTTGTGACAAGTGGAAAAAAATGTAATTGTGTAACTATAAATGAAATTTAAGACATAAACTGATACAATTGTTACTGTACATGTAATGGTATTCTCAGTTATGATTTGAACAATACAGAAAAGAATTGAATAAATAGGCTACATATGGCCATATATATTATTGTAAAAACCAAACATTATAACGCCCTGAACGCGTGAGCACTTCCTTTTAAGTCTCACCACTTCTATCAGTTTTAAAAAGAGAAGTCTCTTCTCCCTATGATTCTGAAGTAGTGTGTGCCCTGTGTATATGATTAATATTTGATAAATCTTTATTTGACCATGTTAATGAACAATTTCTTAAACTAAACTCCGTTTGGTGAACCAACGGCTGTGTGAATCATTTCTATAGAGTCCCTGAAGTGGATACCTTGGTATGCAGGGTTGTTAAATTATTCAAATGAATGCAACATTTAGATAATACTCAAAATTGACAACAACACTTCAAATGGACTGCAATTTTATTTGGTATGGTCTACATGTTTCGCCTGCAAGGCAGGCGTCATCATGACAATTTTCATACAGAAATTAATTACTGAAGTACTCAAAGTGGTACATTGAATTTGACGTCGTCAAGGTGAGAGAAACAATGAAAAGTTAAAGTAGCAATAAAGAGTTATAAATAGATAAGATAAATATAGAAAAATAAAGTTTGTTTACAATGTAACTTGAGTTCGTTTTACTTTTATATGATACATGACATTGTTCTAAAGGCTTGGTATCTAAATGGACGAACTTCCCATGGTTCCTACCACATCACAAGGCTTCTCTTCCAACCTGGCCATTGTTGGATGTTACTACTTCCTGGCGCGTCGGCAAAGATGGGAAGGTTTTGGTCGCCGCTAATGGAAAATAAAATTGTCAAAAATTGTTCCCTTGTTAATTATTTGGTATATATATAATTTTTTGATCGTCTGCTGTAGTTGGTCTGTTTATCGGCATGGTTGTAAATTTATAGTTCATTTATGTTCTTGCAGGCGAAACATGTAGACCATAGCAAATAAAATTGCAGTCCATTTGAAGTGTTGTTGTCAATTTTGAGTATTATTTAAATTTCTTAAACTGTACAATAAATTGATCTTTTACATATAATATTAAAGGAATATTTAAAAATTTTCCCTTATTTATTCAAATATTTGTTGACTAATTAATTGTGACTTTTCATCCTTGTACAATTAATGTAGTAAATAAATGACTTTCTGGCCAATGACTATATCTGTTCATTTACCCAGTAATTGACCTGATAGGGACTGGTTTTTGTCTCGCCTTGACGGAGTCAATAAGCGAGAGATAGGTATGCTGTTTCAGGCGGCTGCGTCGTCAACAATGTATTAGTTTGTGATTAGGTCTAGTTCATGGTGAACCACTAGTGGTAGGTCAATGATATTTGGTATGCAGTTGTATTAGCATTGGCACATCTCATTATTATGGAGATTATTTGGCCCCGCCCCCTCAGTCAAGATCTATTGACTTTGAAACTTTGCTTAGTTTACATGTATTAGTTTGTGATTAGGTCAGTTTATGGGGAACCACTAGTGGAAGGTCAATGATATTTGGTATGCAGTTGTATAAGCATTGGCATATCTCATTTCCATGGAGATTATTTGGCCCAGCCCCCTCATTCAAGGTCTATTGACTTTTTCATGTATTAGTTTGTGATAAGTTCAGTTTAAGATGAACCACTTATGTTAAGTCAATGATATTGGGTATACAAATGTATTGGCATTTGCAAGTTTCATTTCCATGGAGATTATATAACCCCACCCCCTAATTATGGTTCATTGACTTTGAAACTTTTACATAGTTTACAAGTTAATGTTTGTGTTTAGGTTTGTTTAAAGGGAACGACTTATGAAAAGTCAATGGTATTTGGTTTGCAATTGTATTAGCATTGGCACATCTCATTTCCATGGAGATCATGGAGATTGTTTAGCCCTGTACCTTCAGTCATGGTTCATTGACTTTGAATATTTGCATAACTTACATGTTAAAGTATTGCCTATTTTAATTTCAACATTTGCATTATCAAAATAACAAATAGGCGAGACATATCTCTGTGTAAACAGTTTATTTAGTAACGCCCTTTAAAAATTTCAATTGACCAGGATTTCACTGTATTTTTCCCAGACTGGTATTAACTGCTTTTTTGCCAACCTTGTCCATACTACTTTCAGTCAGCGTTTCGTTAACATTCAGGAAGTGTACATACATTGTTATGGCAATGTCTGTATACATGTACATTATATATGATTCAGGCAGTATTGGTTTTGTTCACTTTTACGTTACAGGGACTGTATGTTGCATGAATCATTCCTCAATTCAGTAGTGCTGTTCAGTTCTCAAGAAAGCTGAAAATATAAGGTATTTCCTCTTATGATTATTATTTCTTTTTTCAGGATGGCTAGTGCTTCAACGGAGAAAATAAAGGCATTGTTTGAAGATCTTGGTAAACCAACATTGCGTGGTGTCAGAAAATGTCCTAAATGTGGGACATACAATGGAACGAGGGGAATAAGTTGCAAAAATAAAGCATGTAATGTTGTCTTTAAAGAAAAAGAAAAAAAGAGAGGCCATAGTGCAGATGCTGTAAAAATCATAACTGGTTCAACAGGACAAGTTTTTTCAGTTAGATTAAGAGACCGTGGTCCAGACTATCGAGGATTTGTTCAGCTTCCACTTGTACAGGATTTAGATGGTAATCCAGCCCCAGTTGTTGACCCAGCAATTCTGTACCAGGCTGCAAGGTGTTTTGTTGACAGCTGTACTCGTAGTTCTCAACAAGGAATACAGGAACAACCATGTCCTCACATCAAATCAGCTGTTGAATGCACAAGTGAGGCAACACCTCTGACATTGAAAAACTCTGTTCTTAACACGCTGCAGGTCCCAAATGAAATCAAACAGGCAATCTGGTTATTGGCTACAGAGACTACTGGGCCCCTTGTTCAAAGGGTTACTAAAAACATAATGGTTGTCAAGTGTAAACCTAATTCCAAACAGCCATTAGGATTTTTACACTTTTCCTTGTTTGAAACAACAAGAAATAGGTCTTCACCAGAACACAAGTTTCATTGTTCTTGTAAGGCCTTTAAGGTAATCATTACCTAATCTTTTTTATCAACCAAATCAATAGTGACTGAAATTTTGAGAGAGCAATTATACCACATCTTCTTATTTTTTATATTGAATAAATACTGGGACTGGTAAGCCTAACACCAACCCAAAAATAAATAAGTGTAATGTCAATCTGTTAAATTTTGTCCAAATATGAATAACCTTAGCTTATATCCTTCTGTCAGATTTCATGTAAATGTTGTAATTGTAAGTCACTCCTTGTATTTGAAAACTGCATATAATCATGATAATGCATACAAGAGAGTAGAAGAGCCTCCTCCCTAGCAGTAGTAAACCTAGATCTACATTATGTAGACGTGTACACTAATCTACCATGTTTTTTGTTTAAGATTTTATTTTTGAAACTTCTAGATGTCTTTAGGTTGTGTTTTTTTCGTCACAAATTACAAATGTCCTTACTTTTAAAGTTCTTGATTTTGAGCATGAATAACATATGTACACATATTTTTCAGTACTCTAAACCTGGTGCTGTAAATGACTCACAGAAAAGATGTGTACACTTTTATGCCTGTATATGTGCATTTGCTAGTGACGAAAAGCTTAGTGAGGAGTTTTCTTATTATATTAACTTGGACAGCCAAGGTTTGTATTTCATATCGCATTTCATCTTTGTTTACGTGCACAAATACAGAAATTTGAGAAACTTGAACTTGTTTAAATACATCACAATGGAAGAAAAGAAAACTTTGCTTGTACTATTTTAAAGATATTGTGTACAATAAATATATATCAGAAAACAAAGTCTGCTATTATTTGTAGTTATTCATAATTTGGATTTGTCTGTTACATTTTTATGTGTAATAAACAAAACTTTTCCTGTATTCAAACATATGAAATGTCCTGTCTATGAGTATAAAAATGAAATAAAATAGTGAAACAATATAATAGCCCAATGAACATGATGGAAATGGGAAGTAGTACAATAACATACATAACCATACATAAAATTAATAAAATACATGTATATTAGAAGTAACAGTGTGATGATTAAGATAGATACATACACATGTTAAGAAAACCATTTTGTCTATTCAAGGGCGAGAAGTGTCACCTGTTATCAATACATCAAAAATCATGTCATTTGTTACACAATGACAGGAATAATGTTTCAGTAGAGTTGCATAATAAACATATTTAAGGTGTTAAATTCTTGTTCTTCTATAAATATTCCTTTGACAGACTTTCTTTTAGATTTCTTCATTTTCATTACAAATACAAAAGTTAAGTGATATAGGTAAGACACTTTTAATTATTGCAAAAATGATGCATGGCTTTTACAAATGTGGTCCTTTAAATCTCCTTTAAGATCTTTCAGACTTTTTATCCCTTTGAATAATGTAGGATAGAAAGTCACAGGACAAAAAGTCAAATTTTTGTTTTGAGGTTTTTTATTGAGGAAGAACATACTTATTTTTCTTATATATAAATTAAACAAATTTGTAAACAAAATTTATTGTCAAGTTTCATAATGGCAATTAGTTGTTGAGCTAACAAGTTGTCATAGTGCCTTAAAAATATATCTTTTGCATTATTAAAATTTGATTAATATTCATTTATTTAGAATGCCAATGAACAATTTCCTAAAATTTTGAATATATTAATCTTATAAAAATTAAATATATCAAGAATTTTTTCTTTATTTTTTTTTACCTTACTAATCCCTTTCAAATGGGTTTTCCTTTTTTTCAGGCAGCACAAGTTTAATCTCATTTATGTTTCATTTACTTACAATGTATGCATAAGAACTTGTCAAGTGGTCCAACTTCAACTCATATTGTTACATTTGAAAAGTGATAAATAAAAACCACACACACTTCAATGTCAATAAGATGGTCATGCTTAAAAAATTACATAGATTTGTAAATTTTCTTTTAAAATTAAGTGTATTGCAATGGCAGAGCATGCATGTCCAGTGAATGTGAGTAAAATTGTAACTAAAGCTTACTATTTTATGTGTTTTATTTATGTAGAAGAAGTCCAGCAGGAGTCACCTGAAAGACAAATCGTTACCATATACCAAGCACAGGATACAGGGTTGGACACTGGTGATCCTACAACACTGGAGGTTGTTGTCACAGAGGATGAGTTGTTAGAACCTCCTGGCAAAAAACAGAGGAAGGATGACCAGTTAGGTACTGATAACCCTCCCATTAAGATTACCCTGTTGTACAATTTGGTTGTCAGAAAAGAAATGATTTCTGCATTGGAAAAGCAATTTATAACACAGTTAATTTCTGACTTGATTTCGAGATAATATGTTGACAGCTGCTTAAAATAAAAGAAATACATGTACATACACAAAAATTGAACAAAACTCAAAATTACATCTACTGGTAGAGACAAAAAAAATTAAATCTGACGGGTGTGAACCTTCCTAAAAATACTTTGAAGTTTGTGGACATCAAAGAAAAATAGCAATTATAGTGTACTGAGATCATGAAGACTCGAGGACTCGCTGAGAAGAAAGAATTTATTTATGACAAAAAATGCATGCAAGTTATTTACTTATAAAATTATTGAAATTTCTCGTACACATTTTAAATGATTCCTAAGACATTAAGAAAGATTTAGCAAACAATGCTATCAGAAATAAAGTGTTATTTCCTCTGCACAAACTAAAAAAAAGAATGCTTCAGCATGCAATATGAATAAAACGGTATGGTTCAATATTATTTTTAATTGGGTAAAGAAAACAGTTTGATACATATACTTTGTAAATTTGTATTTAAATGGCTTTAGTATACAGAAGTTTATTAAGGAGAAATCTTGCCAATTGTTGCAAGGGGAACAGTGCATATTACATTTATTAAAATGTTCAATTAATTTTGGTTTCACTGTCAATGCAAGGACTGTTTAATGGTATATTTAAATGAAATTTTCTTGGAATATTTGATTCAGGATAACCTAAATATATAAAATCTTGATATTTATTTTCAGTCCAGGCCAGTAATGCTCTTTTGACACTGCAGGAAGGAAATGCAATACAGAGTCCACCTAGTCCTCGTAAAATAAGTCCTCAGAAAACACAGACTAAATCTATCACTCCAAATAATAAAAAAGTCCCAGGTAAGTATAGCACAAATTAATAGCTGCACAATGATTAAACTACAGTGATTAGGATATTGAAACTTCATTGATTTTAACCTAATTTCTGATTCCATTTCATGCACATTTAATAAAACCACTGATTTCTTGGGTGAATTGTAAAGGAACATTTTGCTTACACCCACTTCATTTGAACTTTGGTGGATAGTTGTCTCATTGGCAACAATACCACATTTCCTTATTTGTACGCCTGTTTAAGGGACGTATTATGGTATACCGTTGTCCATCCGTCTGTTGTCAACATGTTGGACAAAAGCTCAAAAACGCTCTAACCAATTTGCATGAAACTTTGGTGAATTGTTTATATTTATTGAAGTGAGCTCCCTTTCGTTTTTATAAATATTTGATTTTACGTTTCCAAGTTATGGGGTTTTATTCATTAAAAAATGGGATTTTCCAGTTTTCGGATAATAACTCAAAAAAGCTTTCAGCAGTTTTCATGAAACTTTGGTGAATTGTTTACATCTATTGATGTAAGCTCCCTTTTGATTTGTATAAATTTTAGATTTTATGTTTCTGAGTTATGCGATTTTATTCATAAAGAAGGGGTGATTTTCCAGTTTTCAGACAATATCTTTAAAGTGCTTTGAGCAGTTTTCATGAGACTTTGGTGACTGGTTTTTATCTATTAAGACAACCTCTCTTTAGTTTTTCATAAATTTCTGATATGACATTGAGAAGTTATTGAACTTTATTCCTTAAAAAAGGGACAGGCTTATCATGCACTCATGGCGCAGCTGTTTATTTTTAAATATAAAATGTTAAAAAGTAGAAAGCTGATATATGAATCCGTATAGGAATATAGGACTATACCACACAGAAAAAATATTGACACAATGTTTAATACAAAATATAGGACCATACCACACAGAAAAATACTAGTGACACAATGTTTAATACAAAATACAGGACCATACCACACACATAAAAACTATTGACACAATGTTTAATACAAAATGTAGCACCATACCACACAGAAAAAATATTGACACAATGTTTAATACAAAATATAGGACCATACCACACAGAAAAATACTAGTGACACAATGTTAAATTCAAAATATAGGACCATACCACACACAAAAAACTATTGACACAATGTTTAATACAAAATGTAGCACCATACCACACAGAAAAAAAAACGATTGACACAATGTTTAATACAAAATATAGGACCATACCACACAGAAAAAACTATTGACACAATGTTTAATACAAAATATAGGACCATACCACACAGAAAAATACTAGTGACACAATGTTTAATACAAAATATAGGACCATACCACACACAAAAAAACTATTGACACAATGTTTAATACAAAATATAGGACCATACCACACAGAAAAAAACTATTGACACAATGTTTAATACAAAATATAGGACCATACCACACAGAAAAAAATTTATCGACAATGATTAATACAAAATATAGGACCATACCACACAGAAAAAACTATTGACTTAATGTTTAATACAAAAAATAGGACCATACTACACAGAATAACTATTGACACAATGTTTACTACAAAATATAGGACCATACCACACAGAAAAAAACTGTTGACACAATGTTTAATACAAAAAAAAATTTTTAAGTCATACAAGACATTAGTCAATTAAAAGATAAATATATGTTGCCTTTGATTGCCAAATAAAGAGAGGTGAAAATGTTGTCAGGACTAATATCCCTAATATTCTCTGGGATGAGATGACATCCATGTTTCTTGAATTTGATAATAGATGGTTTCAAACCAATTTTTTTATGGAAATATAAGTTGCAAAGCAAGCAACTTGAGGAATTGTTCTGGTCTTTTTCTATAATTTTGCTGAAAAATTTACATTAAAATGATGAAACTTGAAATAGTGTGAAAGAATGGATTATTCAAATATACTGTTATCCTGCTGTAACTCATGTTCTCATTATTTTTTTTACAGTTCAACAGATAGATGAAAGTCAGATAACTATTTCATTTCATCAGTGGTTAGCTAGTGTTACAGAAAGAATTAATCAGACCATGCATTATCAGTTTGATGGTTTGTAGTTTTTAAAAGAATAAAACACTTGAGTAGATTGTCATTATCATCAAATCAAATGTTATAATAGGTCTAACATTAAGATATGTGTGTAATTCAAAGATTAGCATTGTATAGAATCATGTTTTGATTAGAAAACATGCAAGAAGTTAGAATTTCTAAAAAAAAATGTAATAAAATATACAATTGCAACTTTGATGAATATATTTTAAGTTGTTGAATTCATACATTTGTAATACCATCCACATCATAATAAAATCAAACAAGAGTAGTCTCCCTTGTGTGAAAATTTAAAAAAAAAAATATATCTTCTGCTTTAACTGTATATAAAACAATTTGTCATTTAGAATTGATGTGATTTGATATTTTAGCTTATTTTGCATGAAGCACCTGCATTTATAAACTGAGTGTAAATGATAATTACCTTTTCAGTACTTACACTTATGATGACATAAAGTGAAGTTGTTTTTTTTTTCAGTTAACATTTAGATACAGTCTAAGATTAACATCTTTTAGATTATCAATAATTTTGTGAAACCCTCATGGAATTTTTTGAAACTAGGATAGAAACTTCTTTATGTTCAAGAGATAACATCAGTCTGTATCAGAATTTTGACATTTTTTTTTATTTTTGTGTTTTTTACTGATAAATGGATTTTTTGGAGGTTAACATTTTAATATAGTCTTCGGTTAAGGTTTTTTAAATATCAATAACTTTTGTCAAAACTCGGGAAGAAGCTTATAGAAAAATCAAGAATAAAGACAACAGCCTTCAACCATGAGCAAAACCTTGTTTTTTGAGCTATATAATTGTTGTCATCAGGGTCCTGTGATGTCTGGTGGATAATTGTGTTATTGGTATTAAATCCATATCGCCTTAACAGTGTTCCTGCAGATTTTTTCTTCATTATTTGGTTCAGGAAATGTTATTCCAGAAGAGTGCAAGAAGGGAAAAACAATGTAGTATAATAGTTTTATTTGCTTTTATAGGCAATCCAGATCCTCTAGTCTTTCATGCTCCACAAGTGTTCTTTGAATGTCTTCAGCAACGCATATCTTCAGGGAGTAAAAAGAAGAGACTGCCAAACTTTACGACAGGCTTTGTTAGGAAAGATGCATTGCCGTTGGGAATGTTTACCAAATACACATGGCATATTACAAATTTGTTTCAAGTTAAAATGATATTTGATACCCCAGAGGTAAATACACTTATGTTTATCACAAAAGTTTTTAATAGTTTTACTGGAGTGCGATAAGATATTTTTTCTGGAGGATGTTAATATTTTCAGATATATTGCCTGGTTGTGCATATTACAATATTGTGGATACAACATGGAAGTCATTTGTTTGTTAGACGTGTAAGCAACACACAAATCTAAAGTCACATCATAGATCCTCATAGAGTTTTCAAATGTATGGTAGTGACACATGTATCTTTGAAAATTCTGTCATTTGATATTTTGATTAAATTTGTTTCTTCAACTTTTGTTCAGTCAAATATTGTTATGTTTAAAATACTCTTCATACTGGATGTTTTTTTCAAGAAAACCAAGACCATTTAATGGAGACCACAAATAAACTAAAATCTTCTGACAATATGCATTTTTATGCTCCCACTGTGGCACAGGGGGCATAAAGGTTTACTTTTGTTCGTCTGCACAAAATGTACGTAATCCCGAAACATGTTTCTATTCTCTTACTTTAGTTTGCCAGATTTTTATAAAACTTATACTATAGGTTAATATCAGCAATATCTCGGACAAGTTCTATAATGGTGGACGATCAACTTATTAAAAAAGAGTTATGCCACTTGGAAATATAAAATATGTGCAAAGCGGGGGACATAGGAACTCTGTTCTTTTATCCAATTTGAAATGAAATTGTGAAAAAGGTCATTGACCTTCTCTCTGCTTGATAGAATTAGATTTGTTCCAAGACAGTAGACAATAAAGAGAACACCTTTTTATTTTTATTTATTTGCTCCTAAATTTGTAGATTGATTCAATCATAGTAGGAGCAGGGATTAAGGAGATTGATATGTAAACATTTTCAGAATTGCTTATCAAAAGATGATAGATCATGTTCTATGAATTTTTACGTTATTTGTTTACCTGTCTTGACATTGAAGAAATACTCATTGTAGGATAATATGAAGTTTTAACTTGTGCAACTACTTCATATAAACGTGGTATAAAGGATGTTCACCACCTACAACTGAATGTCTTTTATGGTGCTATTTGAACCTTAAGTTTTACCCTTGTCCATCTGTCCCAAAGTTGGTTTCCGTTCTCTAACTTTAGTTTGCCTCAACCAAATGTTACGAAACTTAAACACAATGCTTATTACCACAAAACACAGATCAAGTTTGAATTTTGGTGGCGTCACTTTAACTGTTTTAGAGTTATGCCCCTTTACAAATGGAAAAATTGCTGAATTTTTCATTTCCGTTCTTTAACTTAAGTTAGCCTCAACCAAATGTTATGAAACTTATACACAATGCTTATTATCACAAAATACAGATCAAGTTTGAATTTTGAGGGTGTCACTTTTATTGTTCTAGAGTTATGCCTCTTTACATATGGAAAAATTGCTGAATTTTTAGTTTCCGTTCTCTAACTTTAGTTTGCCTCAACCAAATGTTATGAAACTTATACACAATGCTTATTACCACTAAATACAGATCAAGTTTGTTGGGGGTGTCACTTTTATTGTTCTACGAGTTATGCCCCTTTACAAATGGAAAAATTGCTGAATTTTTCGTTTCCGTTCTCTAACTTAAGTTTGCCTCAACCAAATTTTATGAAACGTATACACAATACTTATTACCACAAAACTCAGATCAAGTACAAATTTGGGTAGTGTCACTTTTACCGCTCTTCATTTATGTCCCTTTATAACTTTATATGATATGCAAGCAGGGGCATCATCTGTGTCCCATGGACACATTTGCCATTTATTATCTTATGTTCTAAGACAATTAATGTCTGTTTATTTCAGATGTCTCTGGATATTACGAGAAACTTTGTAGAAAACAGAGATGGAACTTACGACTTGTATGAAGTGCCAAAGGTTGATGTAGAGAATGTTGAAGATGGTAAAGCTAACAAGCAAATGCCTATCAGACCATTTGAATTGAAAACTTATCTTAAAGTTGGTATGTATACAATCTCAAAGAAACTTTAAAAAAAAGTTAATTAAAACACCAAATTAAAACTTGAATCTTGTGTTGCCTGTTAATATATGGATTCATTAATGGATGTTGTTGAAATTTAAAATAACAGCATTTCATAAACGATGTCTTTTTTTTGACAGATGATGTATTATATATCAAAATAATGGATAAATTAAGATAGGTTTGTGTGTTTGTTTCTGATACATAACCTATTGAAAGGTAACAATATTTGGTGGATAAAAGTTGTCTCTTGATTTTTCATATGAATTGTTTGGGAAAAAAACAAAGGTTCATGCTTTTCTGCATGCAGTTGTTAGTTATCTCCCTTACCTATCAATTTTATGATATGCTTTTACAGATCTGGTAGATACCTACTTCTTGTTTTCTGATACTTTGAATTACAAGTTCTGTATGCTGAGCACAAGTTATCAGGAAGTAGGTGTTTCAACAGATCTGTAAAGTGTACAAACTTTACAATTTATCACTTTCAAGCTGATGACCAAATATGAAGCCATTCTCTTCAGTATTACTGCAGAAAATATTTGATTTCATTTACCATATTGAAAATTTCCTGTTTACCAGGCTTTGCAACATCAAATACCAAAATTGTGTTTCCTGGTATACAGTACTTTTTTTACTGCCAGACAGTCAGTAAAGCAGTCAACATTTGCAATTTAATAAATAAATCTTTAAGAGTATAATTTGAACTGCTTAATAAGAAAACAAGAATTACCAAAAATATAAGATAGCAAAACAGAGCACACCAACTACCAACACTCGACTTGTCCGAAAAAAATGTGAATAAGTACAAGCAAAATATGTCAAGATAGTCTGACTTGATACAGACACAATCATTTTGTTGAGGGAAAGCAGGTTTACTTCATCACAACTGCATGTAGAAGTATGAAAGAAATACTTTTTTTTTTAAATTTTGTGTGATTTGCACGAGTTGATAGGAAATTTAAATTGGAACAGGAGTCTGTGAGTGAGTCAACGTCTTGACAATATTGTTGGAGTTGGCTGACAGTATGTTTAGAATGTCATACTTTTATATCCTTAAAATCCGAAAAGTTTACATGTATACCCAGTGCAGTTGAAAAAGAGTTGATCTACATATTTTGTAGGTGCTGAATCGCCAGACCAAAAAGAACCAACACCTTTTATTATTGAATGGATACCTGATATTCTACCAAAATCTAGAATTGGGGAATTACGTATCAAGTTTGAATATGGACATCAGAGAAATGGCCTGGTAGAACATCGAATGATTCCACAAGAGATACCATTACAAACCATCCATGTTCAAGAATTTAATTAGACTATCTACATGTATAATTGGTTTTGGTTATGGAAAATAAGCTTTATAGCTTAGATATGAGTTCTGTCAGTATCAACTTTTATCATATGGATAATTTTCAGTGTTTTTAAACAAAGCAATGCTATCAAGTTATTTAGTAAATAGTATTTTAAGCTTAAAACATGAAAAAGTGACATGAACATATAGAGCAGACTGCCCAATGAAAAATTTGTCAGTAACTTATTTTGAATCTGTATTGGGTTGTGATGGATGGTCTCCATAGACCAGTTTGATAGCATCATGGTAAAATGGCTTCTTTGGTATTAAATAACATCATACCAAAATTACATGCAACTGTCATGGTAACATGCTAAAAACAAGTTGTGAAAGGCAAAGTGCTGCATATTCATGTAAAAAATTAACAAAAATAAAACTTTGAATTTTTTGGGAAAATATCTAGTTTTTCACCTTTTAGCAGATTGAGCATGCATTTGTATAATTACTGTTGGAAATATTGAGCACTGAATAAGAATGTTACTACAAAAATTCTTAAAAATGAAATAGGTTTTTAATATTGAATAAGATTGAAACATCATAGTGTTTGTTGTCATACATAACATAATTGCTACAAAGGAATTGAATTATGGCAGTATTAATGCTGATATAAAATACCATATGTATAGTTAACTGTTACCATTATCCCACACCACTGTAATATATTTGCACTGCTGGCAAAATATTATGAAGAGAAGAACTTTAATAACACAGCAGTAATTATTAAAAGTTACAATGGTTCTGTTTAATAGAAAAAAAAGTTATTGTAATAAATGAATTATGCATAATGAATTATACATATTTTGGAGACTACAAGTATCAGAACTGGTTCAAAACATATTTTGTCAATTTAATATCATTTGTGCTTATATCAACAATGTACAATGGTATGAGATGAAGAAAATTCATGTAAATATATGTTCTGTTGAATTATTTGACCCATATTAGGTCGTTACAGTATGAAATATTGTTTGTGAATGCTATGTGTGGCTGCAAGAAGTACCTGTATGTGTAATTGACAAAGAAAGACAATAATTTATTTTAGGCATTTGTGATGTCCTGTCTTGCACATTAACGGGATATATATTTTGATTATGTGTTATGTTGTTAAATAAATTAAAAATACTCATTTGCTTTTTTCTCTCAATTTAAATTCAGGTAGTTGTTGATGATACTATATTAGTTAAAGAACTTTGTCCGGTAGACAGAAAAATGATTTAATATTACATAAAAAGAATAACAGGAACTACCTTAAGTATAGTACAGTTTCAAAGACCACACCAACAACTCAGTCTTCCCTGAAAAAAAAAACATACATTTAAAAGAACAACAATTTACTACATTGGTCCAGATAGCATGACTTTGTACTGGAACAGAATGTAATGAGGTTAAGCCAGTTTTACATGTGCATAACCGTCCTTGACCTCAGTTTCATGGTTCAGTGACTGCTTGAAATAAATGGATAGTTTCTCGCCTACAACAAAAATCACAGAATGTTAGACATACCAGTTACTTTCTGGCAGTGGTGGTATAAAGTTTATAAAACTTTATATATTTAAGAAGGTAGAAAACCTGGATGCTTCAAACCTTGTATGCAGATGCCTTGTGTTACTAATATTCTGTCTGTCATATGTCAATTGTACTCAACCTTATTTTCATGGATCAGCAGCTGCTTGAAAAAACAATGTGGTTTTTTTTGTCATGTGAAATACTCACTGATGGGTAATAGGATAACTATATCTGGTTTAAATGATCCTTGCAAGGTCTAGATGTCGGTCAGACAAGTTCACCTGACCTTGATCTCATTTCATGGATCAGTGATCAAGGTTAAGTTTGTGTGGTCAAGTTCATATCTCGGATACTATAAGCAGTTGGTCAATTCTATTTGGTTTATGGAATGATTGTAAGGTGTACATTCTTGCTTGACAGGTTTCATTTGACTTTGACCTCATTTTCATGGTTCAATGGCCAATGTAACGTTTTCACGTTTTTGTCCATTTAATGGATACTATAAGCTAAAGGTCAACTATATTTGGTTTATTTAATGACTGTAAGGTGTTTATGTCTGTCTAAAGGGTTCATTGACCTCATCATGGTTCATTGTTCAGAGTTATGTTATTATGGTTTTGTCTATTTCTCAGATACTATAGCAATAGGTCAAGAAGATTTGGTGTATGGAATGACTATGGTGTACATGACTGTCTTGCAAGGATCATCTGACTTTGACCTCATTTTTATGGTTCATTGGTCAATGAGCAATTTTTATACAACCTCAAAAAATTTTTGTGGTCATATATTGGTATGACGTTGGCGTCTTCGTCGTCGTCCGGCATCGTCGTCGTCCGAAGACACATTGGTTTTCGCACTCTTAACTTTAGTTCAAGTGAATGGATCTCCATGAAATTTTACCATAAGGTTCAATACCACAAAAGGAAGGTTGGGATTGATTTTGGGGGTTATGGTACCAACAGTTAAGGAATTAGGGGCCAAAAAGGGGCCAAAAATAAGCATTTTTGTAACTTCCAGACATAACTTGTGTGTTAGTGTATGAATCTCTCTGACATTGTATCACAAGGTTCCATATCTCAAAGGGAATGCTTGGATTGATTTTGGGGGAAATTGCCTCAAAATTTTAGGAATTAGGGGCTAAAGAAGGGGCAAAAAACAACTATTTTTCTAGTTTCATGACAGAAACTTGTGTGTAAGTCTATGGATCTTTCTGATATTGTACTACAAGGTTCCATATCACAAAGGGAAAGCTGGAATTGAGTTTGGGGGTAATTGCCCAAAACCTTTAGGAATAAGGGGCCAAAAATAAGCATTTTTCTAGTTTCCAGACAATAACTTGTGTTCAAGTGTATGGATTTCTCTGAAATTGTACTGCAAGGTTCCATATCACAAAGGGAATGTTTGGATTGATTTTGGGGGTAATTGCCTCAAAATTTTAGGAATTAGGGGCCAAAAAAGGTACAAAAAAAAAGCATTTTTCTAGTTTCATGACAATAATTTGTGTGTAAGTCTATGGATCTTTCTGAAATTGTACTACAAGGTTCCATATCACAAAGGGAAAGCTGGAATTGAGTTTGGGGGTAATTGCCCAAACGTTTAAGAATAAAGGGCCAAAAATCAGCATTTTTCTAGTTTCCAGACAATAACTTGTGTTCAAGTGTATGGATCTCTCTGAAATTATACTGCAAGGTACCATACCACAAAGGGAAGGCTGGGATTGATTTTGGGGGTAATTGCCTCAAAATTTTAGGAATAAGGGGCCAAAAAAACAAGAATTTTTCTAGTTTCCAGACAATAACTTGTGTTCAAGTGAATGGATCTCTATGAAATTGTACTGCAAGGTACCATACCACAAAGGGAAGGCTGGGATTTAGTTTGGGGGTGATGAATCATAAGGGGGTTCAAAAAATTTGGGGGGGATTTTTTTTTCTTTAAAATTTTCCATTTTAAATTGGTTATTTCTGATTTATATATAAAAGCAAATAATAATGATATGGTTTGAATAGGTAAATTAAAATTTTTTAAGTTCTTAGACCACATTCATTCTGTGTCAGAAACCTATGCTGTGTCAAATATTTAATTACAATCCAAATTCAGTGCTGTATCAAGCTTGAATGTTGTGTCCATACTTGCCCCAACTGTTCAGGGTTCGACCTCTGCGGTCGTATCAAGCTGCGCCCAGTGGAGCATTTTATTGTAATTGGGTATGTTTCTCTGATTATATAAGCAATATGCTAACTACATTTGGTGTATGGGATCCTTGCAAGATCTACATGTCAGTCAGACAGGGTTAACCTGACCTCATTTCAACGATCAGTGGTCAAGGTTAAGTTTTCATGGTCGTCTGTATTTCAGAATTTATAAGCAGAAAGTGATTTAATCAAAAATAACATTTTTTCATGGTTCATTGAATTGGTTAATGTAACGTTTTCATGGTATTGTCTTTATATTGAATGCTGAAAACTAAAGGTCAACTAATTTTATGTATTTAATTATTGTAAGGTTGAGTTCATCTGACTATGACCTCATTTACATGGTTTATTTGTTATGTTAAGTCATTATGGTTATATCTGTTTCTCAGATACTATAAACAATAGCTCAATTATATTTAATGCACATGTATGTCTGGCAGGGATCATTTGACCTTGCCCTCATTTTTATGATTCACACCAATTAGGTCTGTTTCTCAAATTATATAAACAATTATGAGTACATTTGGTGCATGGGGTCCATGCAAGATCTTAATGTCCGTCAAGAGGGAAGTTACTCTTGCAAAGAAAGTGTTCCACTTTTTTTGTGATGCCTTAACCAATGAATTAAAAAGTTACATACTGAGTTTTGAGTTTTATTCCGGTTGAATGATTATGCAGAACCTGTGGTCCTACAAAAAATGCTTGAACTATTAGTTTTCCACACTTTTTTCAGTATTGCTTGAACCAATTGATTAGATATAGGATTTCCTATCATAAGAGATTTCTGATTGATATGAAAATAAGGAGATGTGGTATGATTGCCAATGACACAACTATCCACCACAGTTCAAATGAAGTGGATGTAAGCAATTATAGGTAACAGTACAGCCTTCAACAATGAGAAGAACTCATACCGTATAATCTGCTATAAAAGGCCCCTACATGAAAAATATGAAACAATTCAATTGAGAAAACTAACGGCCTAATTTATAAAAACAAATATGACTGAACTACAGGCTCTTGACTTTGGACAGGCACATAAAGAATGTGGCGGGGTTAAACATGTTTGTGAGCGCTCAACCCTCCCCTAACCTGGGACAGTGGTGTAACAGCACAGCATAAGAACAAACTATAACAAATCAGTTGAAAAAGGCTTAACTCATCAGATTGATACAAAGAAAAACATCAAACAAAAACACAGACAAGACATGGCAGGGTATATATCCATCCCTCATCCCTAACAACAAAAAAGACACTAAGTACAGATCTGAGAGTACTCACAGTTACTGACTGCTAGTTCAAAGCCAATAACAACTATTAAAAAAATCATGTATCTTAGACTTAAATATCAATCAGTACACATCCAACATCCAATGGATTTAGTGTTAAGACGTCGTTTACAGTCAGAGAAAAACATGACTTTGTGCAATGCCAAAATATAGGTATCGACAGATTGTAGTACCGTGAAAGTACATATGTGTAATATTTAGTATGGTTAAATTTACTGATAACAAAATCAATATATACCAATAAAAACAATAATCAAAGATTTAATTACAATGTTGAAATCTAGTAGGTAACCTTTTAGAATAAGTTTATTTGAAGGATTGATAAGTTTACCCGGATCGTATCTAAATTTCCGGGATCGGTTAACAACACCATCGTAAAATTTAGGATGTGCTATTTCGTTTGAAATAAAACGTCACTACAGACACGAGCATAGCGAACGAGCTGGGATATATAAACACCGTAAGACGGTCCCAAAGGAAAATCACCGTCCAAAAAAGGAAAATTAACAATAGGGAAAAAAATCATCCCATTTGTCGTAAATTTTTGTGTAGAGTTTCTGGTGAGATTGAATTTCGATCTGGTTGAGTCATTGCAGGAGTTTTGGTACTTTTACATAGAAACTTGCTTGAAAATATCAGTCCTGAACTTTTTCTTCGTCGCCTTAATCAAATTTAGATATTTGGTATATAGTCCTGTCATAATAAGTAACATACATGTATATAGATATTTTGGTTGAGCTGGTGTTGTGGTTCTTTGACATAGAAAATTGCTTTAAAATAATAATTGATAAATAATAATAATAATAATTATACATGTAATTATAAAGCTTTATTTAGAGTCGACATTTATTGTTTTGAGTGTTTGTTTATGTGTTGTGCTATTGCACCACTGTCCAAGGTTAGTGGAGGGTTGGGCGCCTACTAACATGTTAACCCCACCACATTCTGTAGGTGCCTGTGACAGGTCAGTAGTTTAGTTTTCTCGTTTGAATTGTTTTACATTTTGTGCCTTTTATCGCTTTTTATGTGTTATGCGTTTTGCACATTGTTGAACACCGCCCAGTGACCTTTAGTTGCTAACTTCTACGTCATTTGGTCTCCGGTGGAGAGTTGTCTCTTTGGCAATCGTACCACATCTTCTTATTTTTATATGGCTACAAAGCAAGGACATAAGATAAGCTTTACTGGGCATATTGCATGCAAATAGGCATTACAATACAAACAAGAGTGCAATAAGTTAGATAAAATCACATATGAAGCACTATAATTTTGCATGGTAATAGTAAGCATAATCTATAAAAATGATAAGCTAGATACTAAAGATAAGACAATAAAAACACACAGAAATCATTATTAGAAATAGTAAACGCATAGCATAAAAGATAAACGGTGAATATGATCTAAATTGGATTTTTAAAAAATGTATTATTAATCTACACATGTGCGCTTACTCATTTCCATTTCATGACTGCAAAATATTTCTAAAATCATCAGTTAAAACATAACTTTTAGGGAAACCTGAGGGCTGAGTTAGAACAGCAGTTGTAGACAATATCTTTATATTAAATTGAATAATTGGACCCGGTGGACAAATTCCTTTTAAATGACCCGCATGACCCCCAGTTTAATGAAATATGATTTAATTTTAATTAAATGTTTATTCATATTGTTTTCAATAGGAATATACGTTAAAGTTCCCGACAGACAGCATATGCCGGTTGCCAAGATAAAAAACATTTAGTATTTTGTATTATGACAAAAGCTGTAACATTACTACTTTTATTAGTCTTAGTTCTGCCATTACATAATAGAATGTTTAATATGACACATTTCTTTATGGTATCATGCAACCATATATTAGATCTTAACAAAGGACATTTTTAGTTTTGTTAGATAGAAAATGGTATTTAAATAACCGGAAACTTGAAAAAAAAATATTGTAAGATTAGCCCATTGCAGAAGTAAGACAAGAATAATATATATTTGTTTCAATTAAGGGCCAAAAAGGATATAAACATTTGACATTTTTGACATTTCAAAAACATCCATAATTCAAAATTAAAAACAAAATAACAACAAAAACAAAAACAAAAACAAAAGAAAAGAAAAAAGAAAAAGAAGAAGGAAATGCGCCCTTCTTTGACCGATGTTTCCTCGCCTGCTTATAAATGGAAGGGATTTGAATAGATTTCTTTTTCATCATTTAAGATTTGGAAAAGCGACTTTTGATAGTTTTTAGAGGAGACAAAAACTAAAGTCGAACTACTACTAGTACAAAAAAAATCACAGAATATAGGTTGATATGTATGTATAGAGGGTTTCTAGTATATAGAGGCTACAACAGGAAGGGTTAAGAGGTATACATATATGTACTATGACATTTCAAGTATCCACTATGAATTGTCTTAAGCGTCACTTCATATTCATTAGGCCTGGCGTCACAGAATTATATGTTTAACATTTATTGTCATTTCAGCAGAGAAATACATGGCAAAAGATATCACAAGGCCACTTTTCTGGCTGTTCGATTTCGGAAAAAGTATAATAAACCTAACAAATAACACCCTTCAAATGTCACAAGACGATACTCTTTCGGATATCAGTATTTATATTTTGGAATGAAAGATATTTAGCTCAGTAAAAAATGTATTAGACAGAGATGTTGATGTGAGGAAAATATCATTTTCAATAAGGTTGTACAGAAATTTGCTTTTACCAAAAATATGTGTAAAATGAAATTCTAGGTAAAAGCTTAATATTGACGTGTTTTTAAGTCAACGTGACAAAACTATATTATCCTGTTTATTTTCATCAATAAAATTAACAAAATAATCAAGTTGAAGAATTCTTTTATTTTTGCAAATTCTGGTTCCAAATCATGTTTCATATATAACATTATATTTCAATTAATTTTTGATGCTGATCAACTATACGCTCTGCATGCCTATATGTGTGTTGAAAACATACATCAAAGGTCGCGAGAAAAAGAATTGCAGGACGTGGTTTTTTTAATGAAAGTTTTGATCATTTGTCTTGTTTTTACCTTGTACAATGTTGATAAAAAATTAAATCCAAAGTATTGGCAACATATGCATTTGAATATTTCAGATTTCCTTTAGTTAATCTTTCTTCTTCTTTACTGCTTTCTATTGATACTTAAGAGTGTTAAACAGAAAATAAGATTTAGGTTAGGAAATACCCACTTCATTCATTATCCTTAAATTGACAGTCCTTTCCTTCCATAATTGTCGGTATAATAATATAGATCACCAGCAATTCAGGTCAGTTTACAGTAACTTTGATTTTTTTTATCTTTTGAATGGTCAAAATTCATTATATTCTATCATAATTTATTTTGGAGACCTGAAATAAATTTAAGCTTGTAGTAAAGCAATGTGTATCGTAGTGTGGACTACTGTTATACCTAGAAATACATATATATTTTAAAAAAAAGACCCAGGAGCTACTTTGAATAAATCGACATAAGTACACATGTATATGGAACCATCACAGACTTTGCTTGTTCATATTTATATTATATAGAACCATCACAGACTTTGCTTGTTCATATTTATATAGAACCATCACAGACTTTGTTTGTTCATATTTATATAGAACCATCACAGACTTTGCTTTGTCATATTTATATAGAACCATCACAGACTTTGCTTGTTCATATTTATATAGAACCATCACAGACTTTGTTTGCTCATATTTATATAGAACCATCACAGAATTTGCTTGTTCATATTTATATAGAACCATCACAGACTTTGCTTGTTCATATTTATATAGAACCATCACAGACTTTCCTTGTTCATATTTATATAGAACCATCACAGACTTTGCTTGTTCATATTTATATAGAACCATCACAGACTTTGCTTGTTCATATTTATATAGAACCATCACAGACTTTGCTTGTTCATATTTATATAGAACCATCACAGAATTTGCTTGTTCATATTTATATAGAACCATCACAGACTTTGCTTGTTCATATTTATATAGAACCATCACAGAATTTGCTTGTTCATATTTATATAAAACCTTCACAGACTTTGCTTGCTCATATTTATGTAGAATCACCACAGACTTTGCTTGTTCATATTTATATAAAACCATCACAAACTTTGCTTGTTCATATTTATATAGAACCATCACAGACTTTGCTTGTTCATATTTATATAAAACCATCACAGACTTTGCTTGCTCATATTTATATAGAACCATCACAGACTTTGCTTGTTCATATTTATATAGAACCATCACAGACTTTGCTTGTTCATATTTATATAGAACCATCACAGACTTTGCTTGTTCATATTTATATAGAACCCACAGACTTTGCTTGAAATTACGGTGCATATTTATAGTATTAAGTTGGTTTAAAATACTTTATAGAAACAGGTTTTTTATTCGGGTTTATTCTATTCAAAATCACGTGGAGTTGTCTGTATTGATGCAATACACTATTTCATGGTGACGATTGATTTTCGAAAATAGCGAATTCAGTATTGTTGGTTTCTATTGCAACCCCAAAACCAATAGCTTAAATATTTTAAAAGACGACAGGTCTGATAATAATTCTTGATGTTAGTTACCATATTATTACAACATTATGCTTAAGCTTAGACGGGACTTAATGTCTTGCAACTGGTCAGCTACATTTATTTCTACGTAGAATTATTTAGTTGCTTGAATCCACGTCATTTGAATGGATTATTGTTTCATTGGAAACCATAACTCATATCCTTATTTAAATAGAAGTTAAAGAAAGAAAGGGGGAATTCACCTGAATCAAACCGTAGGATCCGAGCAATGTTGATTTCATTAGCAAACACATTTTTCAACAGCTCTAATGAAATTTCATTCAAGAAAATAGTTTACGCCCATTACAGTTTAGAAGAATTTGACAGAAGATATTTTCTTTTTATTCAAAGGAAGAAAAACAAAATTGCAAGACAAATACAGTGTAGAATGACATTTGAAACCATTTTCAGTTCTAAAATGAAGAGGGCATAGTTAACCAGTTTACTGGACGCCAGTCTTTGCTCCTTTCAATTGGAAATATATAACAAAATGTAAATCTTGTATGTTATTTTTAAATTTTGGTTCATTTATATGTTTCGGAGTTTAGTGTGACGTCCATTTTCGCTGAACTAGTATACATTATTGTTTAGGGGCCAGCTAAAGCCTGCCTCCGGGTGCGGGATTTTCTCGCTGTGTTGAAGACCTATTGGTGGCCTTGGGTTGTTTTCTGCTCTTTGGTCGGGTTGTTGTTTGACACATTCCCCATTTCCATTCTCAATTTTATTAAGATATTTTTACCGGAGGACAATCGACAAATGCATTGGACCATATAAATAATTGTTGTCTTTCATTTCAGACAAAATGATCCATATTACATTCCTTCTTTTATTACTGGCAAGTATTGTTCATGGAGATGGTAAGTAGTTCGAAAATATTTTGTGAAAGTTTATCTCTAGAATGGTTGTTCATGGTTAATTCAATTGCAGTTGTTTCGTTGGTATCTAATTGACAATTGCTATTGTCTGTCTATCTGAAGCTTTGAAATATGACGGTGCTCACGAGAATGTTTTTAATTCAAAGGCATCCTATTTCTATTTTTAACTAGCTGTATCATGATGGTTGTTGAGATTTACTTGGTAAAAAGGAAACAAAAATTGTCCCTTGACTATTAATATCAAAATGCAAGGATTTCAATACACCTTTCCAAACTTTATATTATAGTTTTTTTTAAATGAGTATAAAGTTATAATATAGTGAAATGCCATCAGTATTCCCCAAGTAGAATTATAGTCTTGTAACAGATTAGTGCATTACTCGTATTGCTGAAAAATGAATAAAATATTACATGTAGCAGATAACGAAAATATTAGTGTAGTAATTCCCCATTTAACAGCGAGTCTAAACATTGGACTATTATTGTATAAAACCAACATGTTTAGAAATATGTACAACATACGATGGAGCAAACGTAACATAAAAAAATAGAAAAGGGAAATCAACTATAGGAATCGACACTTTTTTATTTTTTATACAAATGTTCATCTGACACTTTGAAATTGTAATCCTAAAGTCAAGATAAGGACATGAATAAGTTTACGTTGTCATTAAATTCTTCATGGTGAAATTTCTTATGGAAATGTTTGAAAAGGTCGTCCACTTACAGTATGCATATCTAATTAGCCGGAATTGTGTTTACATTTACCAGTGACGTGCAGATAAGATGGATCTTTTGAAATTTTGCGAACTAACTGCAATTCATAATAATATCATTAACGGTACAAATTTTACTGCACCAGATACGAATTTGACAATAAATGTCTCTAAAAGAAAAGCGAAAAATATCAAAGGGACATTCAAACTCATAGGTCGAAGGCGAACTGACAACGCTATGACGAAAAACGCAAAACGGCCAAAAGACAAACAACAGTATTCCATACACAACATAGAAAACTAAAGGCTGAGTAACACGAATCCCACTTAAAACCGGGGGTGATCTTGGTTGCTTCGATCGGGTAAGCAGATCCTGCTTCACATGTGGCACCCGTCTAAAATGACGCTCGAGGCTAACATATTTGTAGTATTGTGGAAGAATCAAATTGACTATAACAGGTTCCACACTTAAACTCAGTATAGAGAGGGGGTAATTGGATCACACTTGACGAGAAAACTTAACAAATATTTGGTTAATCAAAAGCATTTAGCATTCATAAGAATTTAAATCAGTTTTTTTATTTTATTTTAGAAATTCTTTCCCGCCAAAAGCGGATCATAGGAGGCAAAACAATTACCAGAGGTGAATGGCCATGGCTAGTCAGCTTGCGTGGGAAAATTGTAACCGAAAGATTATTCGGAATATTTCCTATAAAGCATAGACGTGTGTATTGTGGAGGTTCTCTGATTAATGAAAGATGGATACTAACTGCAGCACATTGCTTCGATGAGGGGTATGTATAACTTTCATCATACTTTTATCATTGATAGCTATAGTAGGTCTGTGCTATAAAGTTATATGTACTGATAAACCGTATTTTAAAGCGTATTCTGTGTCGTTACACATGTATTGTAGAATATTATTTTTTTAGGATTTAGGTTTTAAAAAAAATTACATTTTTAAAAATCTTTTTATTTTTACGGTTTGTAATAAGTTAGTGCCATACGTCTGCGTTTTCTGTGTTAAAATTTTGATATTAGACTGATATCAAACATTATGTAATTATGATATATATACAATTACATTTTATGCAAGCATTCATATATGTGCTAATATTCAAAATATGACATACGATCAGTCTTTCCTGGACCTGTATCACCTTCTCTTTGGCTAGTCGTAAAAACTCATTTCACAATTGTGTGACGTTAAATGTATTCGATATGGCTTAAATATTTCGGCCCAAACGTATCACCGACGACTATTGTTAGACGTGAAGTTGATAAGTTTTACCGAAACTTAGTTATCATGTCTTTTTCTTTGTGGCCTTTAAAACTTTTAAAACAAAGAAAAAAATATTGTTTCAGTCGTTGAAATAAAATCCAATAAATTGATTATGAGATTTTTCCTGATATAAATACTGTGAAATATCAGCTGCTTGCATGGGTAAGTATACAGCTTTTCAGGACTCGCTCGCCATAAACATTATATTGTGTGTGTGACCAACAGCTTACCAGTAAATTTTACAATATCAATATGCAAAATACCCTGATAGTCATATATGATGTTCCTTTTTGTTGATATTGTATGTCCGAATTTTGCGACTGCTATTTCAGGGTTTCATCGCAAAATTGCATAGCATCAGGTCTATTTGGAATCATATTATTTCAATACTGAGCATTAATAGTAATTGAAAGTAGAACACAACACTGCTAATCATTAAAAACTTTCTGAAATGTCTACATTACATTAATATTCAATTATGCAGTTACGACTGGCATACTCTATTAAGGAAACAGTGCGACAACTCTTTGAATGTCCGGATATGGCCTGTTGAAATGCTTAATTTCTGCCCCAAATAAACACAATATTTTCCCGTTGGCAGTTCAAATTTGCTGCTATTCATCCACATCGACCTACTTTGCAGAATCTTAACCTCTTGGAATTATTTTTTTATAGATTGAATATGCATGAAAAATGTGTACCAATAGACAGCAAACATCATTCAATCAATCATTACCACTCTTGTACTCATTTAAATGATACGATTTATATGACAGTTGATTTGATATCAACGTTTCATCATTACCATTTTCATTTTTTTTTTATCTAAGACACAATATAGCATAATCCTGCCAAGCACAAACAAATAGAGTTTCGGTTTTAAAAGCTTCCATCGCTTAATATGTACTGATATACCACTTTTATCCTTACGCATGCATGAAGTGTTTTAAAATCAGATGAATCTCTAGAGCACAACAATTTCATATTATTTTTATTTAAATGATTAAGACTAAAGTTGTTGCAGATACCAAGGAAGAGATCCATCAAACTGGAAAGCACGTTTGTCAACAGTAGATTTAGGGGTAATGTATTGATAATGTTTATATGTTATCCATAATTCATTCACACGAAGCAATCAAATTGTACATATGGAGTGTAAATGTCAAAACGATATTAACGACAGTTCAGAACCTGTATCCCATCTCTGTATTTTATTGATAAAAGGGTGAATTTAACAAAAAGTCTGCACAGATAAGGGTCTGTAAAGGTAACTAGTACTTACGAAGGAAGTATACAGATAATAGTCTGTAACGTCAGAGGAAGAGCTCACTTTGATAATTGTTTAATGGTTGTTAGAAGTTGAATCCAACTTATACAGTATCTTTACTCATACGAGAAAAAAAAAACTACCGAGGTATACTATTAATATTGTCCTTGTCAGGATCAATATTTTTTTTCTTGTCCGTGCACATGGACTTGTTCTGTGGGTTAGACGAGGTTTTGACAGTCGTCTGACCCACTAAACAAGTCGCTGTGGTTACATCATTCAATGAAGATAACACTTTATAACTTTCGTGCGTTTGAAGTGCTTTTTCTGGATTTACCTTAATCAGGAACTCTCAAACCTTAACACTTGAAATTCAGGGATGTGTAGATAATTACATAGAATTTTAAGGAGCTATATTACCTAAAGGTACATAAACAAATCTCATTTAAGATCAACCTTGCCTGAGTAGGTTGGAACCTTAGTTTCTTAATAATGTCTTAATTTATAAACGGTGAATTTTAGAAATATATGTTGAAAAATCATGTCAGTACCGAAGCACTGAGTACTGAGCTGATAATACCTCTGGGACTAACAATCCAGGTGTCGATCCTGTATTGGTAAATGAAAATAAAAAAATTTGTGAGTCAGAAGCGCTTTTTGGATTAATCTTCTCCAGGAACGGTTAAACTTAAACATCGAAATATAGAGATGTTTGAATAAGTACACATATAAACGTTAGGAGATAACTGACCAAAAGGAACATTAAAAGAGTAGTAAAATTCATTTTAGTTCAATTTTGTCTGTGGGAGTTAGAACCTTGATTTCGTAATTATTTCTTAATCAATATATTGCTTTACTTTTATGATAAAGATAAATTTTGTTGATGGTGTGAAACATGTGTTTGGTAAGCTCTTTGGCAGATCGGATTGGAAACAGTTGATCATTGAAGCAGATAGGATTATAATGCATCCCGGATACAATACAAATAGTAAGGATATGATATAAGACTTAGTATGTATTCCACAAAATGTTATGCCTACGATTCAAAAGAGACCTTACAGTATTTTATTCTTGCAAAAATACTATGATTTTTTCTAGCTAATATTTTAATAAATGACATTTTTTAAGGAGTATAATACGGTCGGTTGTAATATGCAGATATGTTGGGCCATGTACTTGTTTTGTTTTAGCTAAAGGAAGAAAACCTTTTTTTGTGCTGCCAGAGATCTCTGCTTGTCCTTTTTTGGCGCTGAACAGCGTTGAAGTATATTTAAGGAAATAACCTATGTGTTTTGTTATATTTGCAATTATTAAGTGATATTTTAATGATTTCAACAGCGTTACATTTCATGAGATTTAACATACTTTTCTCAGATAACCGAAAGAGTTAATTGGTTGTCACTATAGTTACTGTATAAATGAGTGCTTTATATAAGATTTGCAATTTTCAGATGATTGGGAAAATGATATAGCATTAGTCCGGATAGAACAGTCAGTACCTGTAGGCAGATACGTAGGTAACATCAAACTTCCAAGCAGTAGTAGCTCATTCCCAACAGGTACAATCTGCGCAATACATGGATGGGGATGCACCGCCAGTGGTAAGATCTTATCAATAGTGTCAAGATTTATTCTAAGTTTTGTCGATCGTGGAAATGTCTCCATGTCTTTGAATTCCTGGGAACATTTGGACTTTGTCGCAGATTTTAATATCTCTACTCTCTCTCTTACCTTAGTGTTGGTTTTATCTAGTCATTGACCTTGACACTTGCTATTGCTTATGATATTGGTTTCATATGAATAATAGAAGATCCACATCGCATAAACACATTTGCGCTCACTCTGGTTGTTATTCATGCGATGCATACTTTGTGTACTCCCGATGTTTGTTTTTGTGTAAAGTTGATATTTTGACTATCACTTTGGTGCACAATCGCTAGTCATAATGAAATGAGCAACCTATAACACGTTAAAGGCATTGTGCTAAATGAATTTCATCTTAATGTTCAAGAACTACGATTGATTGAACTTAAAGATCGCCAATGAAACTTCCTGTTTCGTGTACACATGTTTATAATATGAAATTTTATATTTAGATAAATAATGGACTACCGAACAAAAATATAAATTACTGATAAAAGTATTTTCATCGTTGTAAACATCAATAGAAACTTATACAATACATTATGTCATAGTTGATATATCCTTTTGAAATCTGATAACAGTCTTCCTTGTTGGAAAGATTTAAAACTTGAGATAGGCGTAGGTGTAACCTAATTTCTTGTAGAAGAAAATAATAAAATGGAGCAAAAATTGTAGTTTCAATGGCATACTTTATTTGTCAAATTTCTCTCTATTTACTATTTAATTATATGATTTATTTCTTACTTTTTACCAGCCCAGTAGTCGCCACTCTTATACTAACAAGAAATATATTCATAATGCAACCTTAATTTGTAATGGAGGATATATGATGAGGTCACTATTTCGACCCCTTGGATTCTAAAATAAATAAATTGAAATATAGTGATAAATCGGATTATGTATCAAGTCGTAAACTAGGAAAAAGGAGCTGGGATGGGTTTTTTCAATGAAAATGTTACAAATATGCATTTATGTCAGACAAAATATTCCGCAATGGTCAAACAAGTCTTGATATCATTCGTATGACTTAGAAGTATAATTAACTGCTACAAGAAGGTAAACTTAACATATTAATGAATAAAACACGTGAACATTAACAAATCCCTAAGTATCATTTTCGCATTTTTCGAGGGCAAATAATATATAATTTCTGGTAACCGTAGACAACATAAAAAAAAAGTAAACGCGCCGTATGCCCTTAAAATAAAAGTGGGTTTTTCTTGTCGAATTTTTAAAATTATGCATGACGTTTATTATCTTTTACCTAAAACAAACAAACTTAACATTTTCATATATGGCCTTTTATGATCCATTACCATTTTGTTGACAGGACAATGGTTATCAAATACTGCTATGAGTGTTAATCTGCCAGTATTCAGTGCTGAGTATTGCGGAAGATTGTTTGGCATGAAAAGCATGAATGGTAGAATGTGTGCTGGTTATATTTACCGCGGCAAAGGAATATGTAAAGTAAGTATTATAATGTATATTCCAAAAAGATAACCCAAATAGTGAGTGCTGTATTTGCTATATGTCAATTATTATTTTCATAATCTTTAACTTTAAAGTGCCCCTTTTCTTAATTTATTTTGGGCTGAACATATATATTGGTAAGATGTATGCGGAAACTCACACATCTCAAACATGAAAAAGACAATTTGAAATAAAAAGGAAATGAAATTTTTATTAGCAGGTTTCAAAAAGTATAAGTGAATAAAGTAAACAAATAAATATATACAATTTATAACATATATCATTCAAACAAATATATTCAAAATATGAAAACAATATACAAAATACAAAAATGTTACGGTAAAAAGGTTTACTACTGACAAAATGGATTCCATGCAATATAGTCGTAATGTAGTGTAAAATGTTTGGCCATATAAAATGATTACGATGAAATGAAGAAAAAACGGTGGTTATGTGGTCAAAATCATCGTAATATATGGTTGCTATAGTTTTGGAAACAAAGTCATGGTAATTGAACGAATAATTATGCGAAAGTGTAATTGTTACCGTCATGGATATCCGTGAAATTGTATGATGAGTATGCAGAAAAAAAGCGGTGTTTTAGAACAAAAACAAAATCAACATCTAGTTGATACAATTTAATCAAAAACGATTTGAGCTATAAGCAAGCTACAGACTTGTTTACTGATACTATTTAAGATTTTCTTTATTTCTTTTATGTTTGCAAATAGGAAAGCCCAATACAGTTTGTAGTTTTCCAATATGTAGGTAAGAAACAAATTGCTATTCTTTGTTAATATACTACTATGTTTCTTTGTTAAATACAGGGTGATAGTGGAGGTCCCCTGACTTGCAAAAACACTGCTGGTGTCTGGACACAAGCTGGAATAGCCTCGTTTGCAAGTCAATCAAGTCCAGGAAATTATCCTGGCGTATTCACACAAGTATCCTCATTCATGCCTTGGATAAACAACATTCTTGGACAGTAAACTGTTAAATGTGATAGACTAATTGATGACTATATGAATGTTTTTCAGTTAATTATATGAATATATTTTTTCAAAAAACCTAACTTTGTATAAAAGATTAAATACACGGAAAACATTATGATACCGAATTTGATTTAAAAGACCGTATGCGCATTTGGAACATGTTTGAAATCAAATATAGGAAATTTAATATTTTTTATTACTTGATAACAAAAACCCTCAAATAACAAAAAAAAGTATACCAAAACTAGCTCAGGTACAAATGCGCATGAGGAGAATAGCCTTATCGCTAATCATATTTTGTAACCTTTTTGTACAGCAAAAATGATAAATATTATCATTCTAAAATACAGAATTCCTCTACCAGACTGTATTCCGTCAGCTGGAATGTCAATGTACAAAATTTACATGTATCAATATAAATAGAATAATAAGAATTTGCGATTGATTGCAAATGAGAAAACTATCCTCTTGATGAAGTAGGTAGATTTAAGCAACTATAGATCAACGTACGGATTTCAACAATGATCAAAACCCATGGCTTAAAGTGTTTATAAAAGACACCGACATGACATAATGTAAAACAATTCAAACAAGAAAAATCAACGGCCTGAATTATTTTCAAAGCAAGAAACGAAAAAAAACATAACAGAGAGTAACGAAGTACAACTAATGGAATATAGGCTCCTGACTAGGAACATGCATTATAATGCGGCGGGGTTGGACATGTTTGCGAGTGCTCAGCTCCCATTCTAACCTTGAACAGTGGTGTAACATCACAACATAAGAAAAAACTGTAAAACTTAGTTGAAAAAGGCTTGCTTTTTAATATCGACACAAAGACAAACAAAAAAACAAAAAAACAAATAACAAAAGGACAACAAACACAAAGTACAGATCTAAGAGTATGCGCAGTTACTGTAAGCTAGTTCAAAATCAATTACTACTACTAAATTAATCGTATTTCCCAGATCAAGATATCAACCCGTATAGATTTAGTATAAAGACGTTAACAGTCTGTTAAATCTATGTATATTTCATAAAAGTCCAAAAAAACTCATTTTGACACTGGTATCTCCATAAGCCCGAACATCTCATGGCTGGTCACATATTTCAACCAACAAACTCAATAAAGATTAGACTGTTATCAGCCCGTACTAAATAATTATGCATATAGTCTTCCAAGTGCTCCACGAAACCTCTTTCTAAATTATTAACATATATTTTATCATCAATCAAAGCCGGGCTTTAAAGTTATTGTGAAACTGCCTATTCTAGAGGTGGCGTGAATCTGATGTGGATACTAAAAAATTCCAAAGATCTTTTAGAGTACATACAATCTAAGACTAATATCGTAGTATTTGTTGTTTTCAAAATATATATCCATATCTTTATTTTCAATAAACAAAGAAATGTCAATGGAATACAGTTTCATTTAAGACTGAGTGACTGCAATATCGAAAATTCTAATGTTGTAAAAGTTTTATGGTAAGATTTATTGCATAACAAACTGATGCTATCCATCTCTATTTCTATTGCTTCTGTCATCGTTATCATGAAATGTTGTTCATGGTATCTAAAGGATTGTTAGAAATGATGTAACGTCTTGATTTTGGTAAAGCTTCTGGTAAAGAAACCAAGCAATTACTGGATGTATCTAAAAGTTCAATATCTTTGTCGTAGTTTCTGAAATGAATGTTAATTCATTCTGGCCTAAATTCAAAGTCAATGCTGAACAAGTAGTTGGAATGTTCAGCTCGATATTATCCATCATGTTATTTAAAATATCAAGTATACAGTAATCATGGAAGAGGTTTTCTTGCAGGTATTTATATCATCGAATAGATTTGCTGGAAAATGTATCAATTTGTTCAGTTGAACAAAACGGTTGTCATTTTTCCTGACCGAAGTAAAACATATATTAAAGAATTTATGTAATTGTGAGATAAATCAATATGATTTAATTCTGACAAGTGTGATAGACGCACTGTTTGGAGCCTATTTTGTTTTAAGTTTTAATGTTTCCAGTGCTGCAACGCCTTCCAAAACATTTCAGACATCATCATCAAGATAATTATATGGAAGGTCTAAATGTTTAAGGATTTAATATTAATTTTGAAAAAACCCATGATATATTTCTGTTAAATGATGTTCCTTTACAGAAAGATGTTCAAGTTATTTTATTGTCATCAAGTACAATTTGAATATTATGGTTGTTGCTGATATAAGAAATACTGAAGTTACATATCTTATTCTGCCTTAGGTCAATGTATGTCAAAGATTTTAATTCCAGATCATTCCTATTCACAGATTATCAGTCCTGATATCTAAGGTATATATGTATTAGTTGATTCAAATTGGTTAGAGCACATGACAGAAATTCTCGAATTAAGTTATAGTCCATCTGTATAGAATAAAGCGAATTCACCAAAGGCTGAAAAATATCACATTACAAATGTACTAATCCAAGATCCTTTATATATAAATGTTTAATGTTATTTGCCCAGTAAAATTATCCGCTGGGTAGTGTTTGCAACGACCATTTTAAATCAGGTACACATGTAACTTATGAACATTTGGTAGATTCCATCCATAAAACTGGTAACCGGATAACAATTCACAACATTTTTTCCAGGCCACCCAGAGCATCGCGTTGGCATTTCTTTTCCTATCGATAACCACATCAGTCCATTTAAGAGAGGGGAAATATTTTAAGTTTATTGAAGTTTATTGAAGAAGACCATTTTAACTACTATTATCAATGCAATCTTCCAATTTAAAAAAAAGATTGTGTATTCAATACCATATTTTCTGGTTTAAAGATAACATTTAAATGCACGCATTTGTTTAAATTGAATGTTGAATCAGATCAACACAAAATTTAATATTTATTGAAAATTACACTCTGTAATTATACACTTATATACATGTTTTGAATTTACATTAAAATTGCGCAAACTATGCTGTCATTATCAACATAGTTTGTTTTGAAACCAATTCCTGACATTGAATTTAAACTTCTGGTTTTTAATTATTTAAAATATTGTCATTCCAAATGATTGGTCTTAAAAGTGTACGGTTAATATTCTTATAGAAAATTTGTTTTATATAACATTCGAAATAGGCAACACAAAATTTAAAAGAAGAAATTATAAGACTTGAAGATACATATACGATGCGAATGTAGAGAATCGACAATATGACAGCAGTCCAAAACAGAAGTTAATGAACATAGACATTTAGAGATTACCATACAGTGTTCAACGTTTTACAGGGTCCATTGTCTAGGAAAAGCTTCAAAAGGTTCAGACTTCTTGTAGTGAAATATATCTGTCACCAACATCAACTTCTTTGAAGATCCCAAACAAAAAACAAACAAGAAGTTACAGCTACGACTAGATTCTAGACTTTAGAAAAGCATTCATGGGATTAATTGTAGTGTGAAGACTGAAACCTCATATTCTATATTAACAACTGCAAAAAAGAAGCAACACACTCAGTCAAAATGCACATTTAAGGCGCGAAATCGGGGTTAAATATTGAGGTTAGAATATATGTTGTTCAATAACTCCATTTCAAACACTTACCAGGCAGTTTTTAAACGTTCCCGGTCAGCTTAGAACAGAGAATAATTGAACAGTAAGTCCTTTTGTGTTATAGTCTATCCGTTCTTTGTATCCATTACTACACCTTAATAGAAATGACTGTATTTTATTGAGACTAAGTAAATTTGTATTATAGGATCTAATGGCATTGCACACCTTTCAATTTCATATAATCCGATTAATATTGATACATAGAAACCAGGCAAATTAACATCACCAGATGAACACACAGTTTTCAGCTATGGTTCACTGTCACCATTTCAATTGTCGAAATCAACCAATATTACTGTGATTTGACTATAGTTGTTGAATTTTACCTTTACCTATTGTTCAACCAGATTGTACAATTGACAACACAATTTGGACATTTAAATTGACCAGTTGGTATTGTGAGAGTTGACGAATAGATGATCACATATGCATTTAGAGTCTACCTGGATGCTGTCCTATCACTTCACCTGTTCAATTGTTATTGTTGTAGTGTAACTGGGATAGGTCTTTCAAAAGTTATCCATGTGTCTTTCAGGCTTTAAGTTTTGTCTTTGTTAAATAACATAACACGCAAACAGTATAAATTAGTATACATAGTATAAATAAAGCTAGAATATGACCACAAGATGCAAACTTATTTTATGTTCTAATATTTGTTAAAAACTGCAGATTTTAAAAACAATTCATCTCCCAATGATTTTCATTAGATAATCCTAAAACAAGTAAAGGAAATAAAAATTATAATTACAGTCTTTTTTTCATTGAAATAAATGTATTCCTTGAAGTTATTGACCATACAATTGCCAAAGGAACACAAAATTAAGAAGGAAAAAGAGAGATTTTTATTTACTGTCAAAAATTATCAGTAAGCAAGCCAGAACAAGAATGTATATGTTTTTTTTTTCTTGCAGGGTATGTATTTAATTGCATGTCATATAATGCACTACATTTCCTCTTAATGTTTTCATAGCCAAATACTATGAGTGCTTGGATTTCCTTTATATTGTTGAAAAGACCTCTTTTATCTCTTTGGCTTTTTCTAATGGGAGATAACTAAATTTTTTTTACTCATAATTTCCATATAAATAAACTTTTATTTATTGAAACTGATATTTGATATCCCATCCAGTATTCCAGTTTCACCTTGTTGAAATGATTCTAAGATATTTTCCTAATTCTATTAACTTTTTGGAATATTTTCTAACGTTTTTCACTTTATCTTTAGATTTTTTTCTGCATCCACAGTATTCTGTTTACTTTCCCATGCTTATATATCCCAATTAAACAGGTGCTGAGTCTTTATATTAGATCCAGAAATAATTTGTAATTTTGATTATTTTCAATATCAAAATAATTATTCTCACTGTACAAATGTTTTTGGATTTTTTTTTTTTTTTTGAATTTATCACTTGCTTTTACTATATCCACAGTATTCAGTTTTTATTTCATTTCCAATGATATATGTCACAATTAAGCAATATAAGATCCAGAATTTTATCATGGTTCTTTCGAATGTCACATTCAAAATTGTTATCCTCACGTTATGAATTATTTTAGAATATTTTACTTTTATTTTTCACTTTATCACTAAATTTGACTATATCCACTGTATTCACATTTTATTTCATTTTCTATGATATAAATCCCATTTAAACAGGAGAATCATCTTTATATTAGATCCAGAATTTTATAATGATTATTTTCAAAACCCCATTTAAAAGCCACAGAAACATGTTGGATAAACGAATTTCTCCTACTTGCATTCAAGTTTTGATTTTTTTTTTACCTTTTAGATTAACTAAATCCCATCTTATAAAAGGTGAATTCCCTTGAGTAGACAGGATCTTTATGCACAAAAATCCTAATAAATTTTCAAAGATAAACACTGCAAGGTATACTCCAAAATTATTTCGAAATTTACATGTACATCATCATGCATAATCCATACAAAAACATTTTGAATGAATTATTTCCTCCTTGATACATTCATGACAATCCATTATTGTAAACAAAACAAGTCACACTTTAAAAAAAAAAAACAAAATTAATGGCATCTAAGAAGTGAATTCAAAAAAATAATTTCCAATATGCTATGCACATTGATTCCGATAGATTTCAAACACTTTGAATAATATTCCGAATGAAAAATTGGAACGGATATATGAAGAAATGCATAACAAATCCATCTGAAAAGTGAAACTGAAATCACCTGAATAGCTATTTCTTGTTTCACTAACAACTGGACAATACTATGTATAAGGTTTAAAAATTTAAAGATTCATTTATCATGTAAAAACAGTTTTAATTTTCATACATGTTAACATGCAGTTCAGAAAATCTTTTACTGATTTGGATTTTTGGGTCAAAATTAAATGAATCATTTATATTGGGGATTTTGAAACAATGAAAACCAATACTATTTTCTTCCCTTTCAATTTTATAATAGAATAACCCTAGGTGAAGAAAAACTTCATGAAAAAAGCATGCTGTAAGGTTAGGTTAGATGAATAAAAAAACCAGTACAGGTAGCATCAAGGTAGACCCAACTCTAAAAATACCAACTGGTCAATTTAAATGTCCCAATTGTATTGTCAATTTTACAATCTGGTTGAACAATAGATAAAGCTTAACAGCAACACCTATACTAGTAGTCAAGTCACAGTAAAAAAACTGATAAACCATCACAAATGGCA